ATTAGGCTAATGTTTTCAAGTTACAACTCCAAGTTGGCGCGACGCATGACAAAAAAGTACTCGTAAACGTAAACAGATCTAGAATATTCCAAAGTGTGTCAAAACATTGATTTACCTTGAAGGTAATACTTTCAAAGTCCGTTAGAGGCAAGACTGTTACTGCGYATGTCATCCATTGACAGTGTCCCTTTAATTAATGTATTAAAATATTATATATTTCCCCGACATCCACACTTTTTCWGTACATTATATGCTTACTTATTACCTAAGTTAAGTTATCACCTTTTTTAATACCAAAAAGGTTGATCCTACAAGAAGACAGGAAGGGCAATTAAGGAGTTCTATCAAGAATTCCCTTCCAAGAGAAAATAAAGAAATACAAGCAAATGGCTCTGAGCAAAACAAGGAAGATCAATCCACAGAGCATATCAGTTATGAAACTAAAATCATTGGTGGTGTAGTTGTGAGAAGACCTGTTTCTAAGGTACCGTTGGTTAGCTGTCATATATCAATGATGCCAGTTGTCGGCTGTCTTCTCTGTTTAGCAATGCCGAACATTGCTGAACTGCACATATACATGGGGGATATTAGGTGCATTGTAGAGTGTCCAATGTATTCTAGATCTTWAGCTCTAAAGCGAAATTTGTGAAGAAAATTGTTAGGATTCAGTGGGAGGAGCCCAATAATCCATTAATTGCAATATKTTCCTTTTTCGTTCAAGTAGAAAGCTGATTCTGACTCTGAGAGCTTATCAGGAGGCTCCCTGACAAGTCGGTCAATGTCTGGAGGGGTTGGCAAAGGGTTCAGAATCCTTAAGCAAGGTTATCTCACCAAGAAAGGTGCAGTGGTGAGTTCAATCATCAAATGGAATGTCTAAATGAGAAATGAAAATAATGTTACAAAAGAATGATATTATTCTCCTTATTTGTAGGTTAGAAATTGGAAAAAACGATATTTTAAACTGGATGTGACTTCCCTGAGCTACTATGAAAGAGATACGGTAAAAATGTTTTATTTTTGCGTACCACTGTGCRTGCTCGCTCATCGGTCAGTGTAGAGCCGCATTTTATGAAAGCCGTACTAGTCTCAGGATGATAACGATAACAGCGTTTGGTGATGATGATGGATCTCTGATAGCGGTTTTTGTCTTATTTGCTTGTTTTTTAGGATAAAGAACCAATAAAACAAATCGCAACAAGTGATATCCTTCATATTCGACATAGTCCCAGGTAAGYGGATGATGAACTAGTAGATAGAATGGTAGAAAGGGATGACGTAACAACGAATGAAGTGTTCGGAGTCTACGAGGGGGAAATTAAGACACGACTAACAATCTAAGGAAAAGGATAAAGGAATGAAGGAAAGGGGGAAAAATGAATAGAAGAAAAGAAATAACTAATGAAWAAAACTGAAGGAATGGGTTAAAACAGATGGAAAAGCGAAGGAAGGAAGGAAAGAGTGAAGCTAGAAAGGGAGACGGAAGGTATGGAAAAAGAATTGGCTTGAGAAAGAAAGGAATATAAGTAAGAAAAAAGAGAATGGAATGAAAGTAGAAACGGACAACCGATAARAAGTAAGGAATGGTGTGAGGAACAAATTTTAGGGAGAACAGTTTTAAGAGTAAAGATATTTCAATATTTATTGTTGTCACTTCCAGTTCGGAAAGCAATAAAGATTTCTTATTTGAAGTRCAGACRGCGACACGGACATTTCTCATACAAGTATGCCGATTGYATTTGCAAATTGTAAACGTTTAAATGGCTTTTGTAATGATAGAATCTTTATTGCATTTACAGGCAGATAATCAASAAGAAATGGAAGATTGGATTCAACACTTGAAAGATGCAACGCAGTCGATCCAAGGACGGTCGTACAGTGGACCGGTAAGTACACAGGGAGCCCAAKCTTGTGATWTGTGATTTTCATATTCAAAGGAAAATGCRCTCTTTTTCTATTGACGCGGATGCCTTTATTTAATGCTGTTAATTTCTTATGAACTATAATATATTTTATCCGCAATGTTCCCTGGCCATTTAGTAAGTTCGTACCCCAGTGACAGCAGTTCTTTGTGCATACAAATAATCTCTGCCACCATTGATGCAAATTAGCTGTTGTTTGGGCTCAATACAAGGCAAAGGGATTTGCGAAGAGGACTATTWGAGAGCCAATGATTAGATTGCATCAGTAGACTTGTTATGCATTTGATTAATAACGACTTCAGTTTCATACTTTGATCGCAATTACTGACCAAAATCCCTCCCATTCAYTTTAAACTCGATCTAATTCACACAACTGACTCTTAATAATGTCATCCCATCGATTCTGTTAATCTTCTAATTTGCTTGATTAACTTTCAGACGTGACCTCAGATATACTAGTGAGTGATTTATAATGTAAGTAATCTAAGAGAATCAGGCAGCATTTATAACTTGCTTATCACTGTGATTAATGACTCCCAGACKYAGCTGCTTTTCCAGCTGAACTTAAAAAAGTGTTTTCTGTGTACATAGAACAGACGCGAATCTCTAAAGGCCCATTTACACTTGCGATTTTTGCAGAGGTATTCTCGCGGCGATCTTCGCGCGATTAATGTCTGAGTTTCGAACATGTTCGTGAAAATTGGATTACGATTACGAATTGGAGTACGATTTGAGTTGAGAAAAGTGGCGGTTATCGCACTGCAAAAATCGCAAGTGTAAACGGGACTTAAAGGACACTTGTCGCTCATTAGAGACTGAGAAGGACACGGAAACAGCGATAAAAAGGCTAATGGAAACTATCAGTTTGTTTCCTTCGCTGATTCCGTCTCTGACAACCCAGTAAGTGCCCTCCTCTTGCGTCTTCTTTTGACCTTCATCAGTGAGACTCGCCCTTAAAAGTTGATATATCGATTTCAGGCTGTATTCTACACAACATATAATGACGCAGAACCACCCCCAGCGTGTATGTCTATTGACTACTACAGTACATCCCATGTTTGAAATGATGTCATAGTGGCCGCCATTGCGTATGGTTCTCACCATGCTCCGTAATTTGCGGCTTGATGTKTAGCATCTCACAATATCATAGTTTGATGTAACAATGCCAGATGACTTTTAAAATTAGCATGACGTGTGACGTCATGAGATTGTTAAAAATATTGCAGTATAGCAGAAGTACATAACCGTTGTTTTGTATTTGGTGAAGAATTACTTTTTGCACTCAAAAATAGAAACGAAATGAATTTGGTCACTGCTGTTGCACGACAGATTCGTTTTTGCAGGCTCTTTTTTTGGTTTTTATTTTATTTTTTATATAAATTAAATGGCTACTAASTTAAATAAAATTAACAATGCTTTATTTTCTTGTCCAGACAAGACTGTTTACAAACGTTTATCGATATTCTTTTCTTAGTTCTCTCCTTGACTCGACTGAGTATTGTTTTCCCAATATAATTGAGAACACAAAACGCCACAAAAACGCACAAGTACYTCTTACACGTTTGTCTTGTTCAGATAGGATAACAGTGATTAACCACTGAGAGAGTTACCTTAAAAGGTTATAAGGATATTCTAATAGAGGTCGTTATAGAGGACATAGTTCTTGAATAGGATTTTTACGCCATAACAATGTAGACTCATCAGGACACACCTGATTGCATATTGGTTTTTATAAAGCCGTGGACCAGTATTAGCACTAAAGTATATYTAGTCATCCAGCTAGTTATGTCAGTGATATTTAATTTCATTGATTCAGACTGAGGAATTAATTTACTGAGCAAATGTCCAGTTTTAGTGCATTTCGCAATCGAGAAACCATGCCAAGCACTTTTTTCATTGATATYTCACACTTGACAACAAATGACGATGAGCTTCAGACTCCATCTGCAAACTTTCCCGCAGTGACTGCCAGCTTACCGCTCAAGAAGTATATAAAACATTAATCTTGATTCCGTTTGGCTTTAGTTCATGCATTTCAGACGTCAATTTAGGACATCTTTATCATTTCAGTCACTATGTCAGTTTTGTTCATATACACACATACTCGAAAACAGTAGTTATTTTTGTTAATAAGTACAACGGCCAGGCCGGAAAGGACTTTTGGTACTTTTTATAAAGTATAGATCGATCATTCAGTTTTTATGTCTTTTATGAGTCAGCTGTGATCATTGCAAGAGCATGCGTCAATTTCACCCATTGCAYATGCTCGCTAATGTTTTTTGAGCCTATCCCACATGGCTTGTAAGCCTGTATTTGTGTGATTATGATACACCTCTGTTTTTTTAATACAAAAATAAACGAAAACCGAACTCCTTTGCGTCCCGGAATTCCTTGTTGCTTTAGATTCCCAGCGGCAACGTCTTGAAGTTAGGTGCACATGCCTATTGATACTGCGCATGTCATTGATGATTAGTTGCTTATTTGCTTGTAATGAATCCAGTAGATCGAAAAAAACAACCCATAAGCCACAGGAAACAGATATTTAGACGTTTGATCAATCCAATGAACCTTTGGTTTCGTGATTGCTTTCCTTTTCGGTGTCCTTACTTGTTCCATGTCCATTAGCGCGTCCATTTTAGGACTCTGAAACAAGATTGTTTTATACACAGTGTCAAAGATAGTACTTATAGGCCTGCGTAGCTGTTAGGTGCGTGATGTGACTGTGTGACGCTGCCACGAGCAGGGGGATATACTGGGGATATAGCTCAACAAACGGGCCTAATTATGGCACTATAATATTCAATAYACCTGTACCTGTAATTCCTTGGGTTTGGAAAACATGCGTTTTATTGACGGAAAGGTTTCTCTAAAACTCATTGGTGTGTTTAGTACTAAAATGTACTCGATCAAAGCAGCAAAGATGAATCCAAATGAGATGAGCATGAAGTGGTCGATCGCCTTCATATAGCTAACCTGAAACACGTGACAAATAGATTGTTATTATACTAAGTCTATGCGGAGTAACAGTGAAGTGATTATTTTGAGCTTTTTTAAAGTTTCAATTTAATAAGCTTCACTAGTAACGATGGAAGAAGTCAGGAGTCTAAACACGTCTGGATTCAAACTTATAGGTTTCTTTTTTCTCAAAATTACGTATTACAAGCAGCGTMTTGGAAAGTATGTGCAGCGGATCTTACAAAACTCGCTYGTACTTTACAGGCTTACAGTAGYGCTATTTGKTTATACCATGGCATTGCGTGTTTAYACAAAGCTGATRTTTTATTCATCATTGCAAGTCACAAGGCAGCCCAACACCATGCAGCAAAGGTTTCCGCTTTAACTGACGAAGACCACAGACCTTAAATACTCCTTTGGTGRAATCGGGTTGTGATTGGAGCATCCCGTCTGAGGCTCTATGATGATAGTTGTGATTGACAGCGCTGCTCTTGTGTATGTGAACATATAGACAGACAGACACACAGACAGACATTTTTATTAGCTCTTTGCACTAATACATAGATCAGTTTAGATGCTAATAAAACATTTGACGAACAAAATACAGTATCTAACTATACATGTATAATATACGTATGAAGAAAGAAAGGAATTCACCAATTTTCAACTTTTTGAAGCACTTGATGATTTGAACAAACATTTTGGGACACCGACCCTTCACGCCTAAAAAGTCTTACCTTAGGCATGTTAGCATTAACAGAGCTTGATAGGAGTATAGTAGTGAGAATAGTTGTGATTGACAGCGCTGTTCTTGCTGGGACCGCTGTCGGGGTAATGAAGAACGTCGTCCATGACAAGACAACAAGAATTACTTCAGGGACGTAGATAGATGACACATAGAAATCGAGACGTCGACGGAACCGAAACCTCGCTACAAGCCTTGCAAACGATCCTGCAAATATATGAATGCAATCAGATCACAATTCTTATGGCAATTTCATTTATGACTTGTCGTTATTGATGCGTTTTTGTAGCGTTTCTAATGTTTTTTTTCATGATGGCGGCGTAGAACCATGCAAAAATCCTAAGCGCATTTTATGAACGGTACGTGATTGGCTGTTTCAGACTGATGACGTTATAACTGACTAGCACACTTGCAGACTTACAACTTGCTAGCATATATAGTCGGGCCTCTCATGCAGTCACAAAGAACAAGGAGTACAAGAAGCCTTTGAAATTGTCTTGCAAATAAGAATATGTCTCACGATTGACAGACACATGACTGGGTTGAAGAAATGGTTACCTTTACTGTTAGTGCTATCTTTCGTTTCTGTGGAGATACCCAACAAATCAAACTGTGCCATTTGTTTGGACACGATTTCGATCTCACCCTTCCATCTATAATCAACATCAGCTGTCGTGTGAGCGTCTGAAATACGAGACGTCAAGCCATTACGTTATTTCATGAAACTCTCTTAACTGATTCTCAGTACCATCTCCAGTCCAAACGTTATCCGCGCGTTCGCAAAAGCACAGAATGACCGCGCGCAAGGTTGACAGTGGAGTAAGCGGATGCATGAGAGATGAAGGTTGTGCRAAGAATGAAGTTATACTCTTCATAAGTTTTATATGTTTTTTTCCGCTGGCAAAGGATTTCTTCACCCAGCTTCGTACAACCTTCCCCTCAGGCTGAAGCTTTCCTGAGCTTTTAAAACTGAGAATTTCAATCTAAGAAATAAGCTTACAGCTTTCGATTCTTAGTGGGCAGTGTTGTGTATCCATAGGGTAAAGACGAAGGTCCATATCACATTGTAGAGTTAAAGTGATCCTAAAAAGAAATGAATACCATTAACATACACAGCTAGTTCAAATGTGTTGAGAAAGCTAAGTAACATATGTCCTCGCAATTGGATACTGCCAGTTCACCATGACATAGAAGTATGGTAATTTTTACATATGAGCCTGCAATAACGTAGGAACTGTAGAAAAAAAATAGAATCTTTCCACTCTCTTTAATGCTCCTGATTATGGTAAGTGTGGAAACAGCTTTTGTTTATTTAGCACTAGCGTGCACTGAAATACGCGACTARAGGGGTATCCGGTATGTACCCTTTGTGCCATCTGGACCCATGRCTGTGTTCTGGGCTGAGAGGCAACACCTAATGTATTCTCTTAATTCACCTTGCACTAAAATAGATTTTTCCATCAGGATTGATCATGACTCTCATGTTCTCTCTGGTCACCCTGTGATAATTAGCTTGCTTGACATTCCAGAAATAAGTATCAGGTGTCCAGAACATCTCAGTAGGGTCTGCTGCCATGGTAAAAGGTGTACTAAAGTTATGTGCAAATCGCCTGTCATACCACCATTGTCGAAAGAATATATCCATCGAGTACTCCTAGATAGACATCAGTTATTAGTAATATGTAATAATGATTGATAATAGTACATCATTTGGGTTGTTTGGTACAACTCAATCTCTTCTTCCTGAGCTCTTTTGGAAAAAGATGAAGCATATATAACATCAACATGTTTTTTTTAAAAAAAATAGATTCCTTGAATTGAAGAAACCTTCACTGCATTCTGTGAATACACAGAAAATATTGAAAACTTACCATTTCTGCTTCCTTTATTTCGCCAAATGATATAACTTTAAATTCTACTTCAACCATAACTTTTTTCCCTAACAGGATTGCAATGATATAATTCTGATACTGTCAACTGCACCAATATCATATATCTTATATCATATCACTGTTTTTTTTTAAATTTTGATTTAAAAATCAGATCAGTCTCCTTGGTCTTGGAGAGATGAATCATATACTAGTCATCCTCAGTTCCACATTATCAATGATATTATTATTATTATTATCAATTATTGATTTATCAATTATAAAGTAATTAGGAAATTATTACAAAATATTAATTCATTAATATCAATATTTTTGWCGTCTTACCTCCAGCATTTGGTCTGACGTTTCTATGATATTTCTGGATCACGCTGTTTATGAAGTCTGACAGGTTTTGTGCTTCTTCCATCGCYCGTCTTGTTTCTGGTGAACATCTAATTGAAATCATATTAACAATCATTGCTTCAAAATTGTTTCATTCATGATAATCCACTTATTTCACTCTCATTTCGTAAGATTTGCTCATTATATTTCGCTGCGTCTATAATTCAATCAATTTAAATATTAATAGGCCCCTAGACGTCCCAACCACCTCAGCATGTTGACTGGTTGACTACCAGCACATGCCGTGTTAGATCATCAGTCAGTCAGGGAAACCTCTCGACGTGAAGTCGTATCGATATTTTAAAATCTTGCTTACTTACTCTTCGGTTGTAACATTCTCTAACAGGAAGCAGCAAAACAGAAGTAATGTAAACAATTGCCAAATTTTTCTTGTTTTACGGTCTCTGCAAAGTAGAAAATTGACGACAATTTGTGCTTGAGATTAATAAATCAAGCTTTAATAGTACACACAATAAAACAACAAGCCAATGACTAAAGAAACTTTAGCTTACTCTAAGCTCTTCGCCATCGTTAACTTGCAGAAATGCAACTTGATAAAGCTTCTAAATGTCTTGTAACTTTACTGATCTGAAAAAAACTGAATTGATATTTTTCCGGAAGTAAAATTCACTTCCGGCTGATGAAGTTTTGGCGGGAAATTGAAGCGCGTTCGTGCAACACGAGCCCCCGTTCTTGGTCACGTCACGTCAAGATGTCTGTGCTTTGCTTTGGAAAGCGTGAGTATTTCTTGGCTTTTTAGTACTCGAATTCAACTTTATATTATATATTTGAGTTCTAAATCAAAAGTAATATATTTTTAGTGATGTTTTCGATTTGAATCTTTTGAATAATGCTTTATTTGGCTAGCAAAATGCACGATTCAGATGCCGCCGGTTCGAATACCGAACTAAAGCTAATAAGTTAACAACTTCTAACTTAATAAAATATGCTTCCAGTAATACTGGATCAAAGAAGGAAAACATACGATAAGCTTGTCTGTTTATCTTTTTCTTAATTAAAYAAAACACAGTTTTTAGTTGAACGGCCAGTACAAGTACATAGTATTAAAGTAATTCATGTAACAGATTTACTCAGCCACCAAAGTCCATGGAGTCGCTATCACAGGATAGTTCTCGTCGTGTCGTCATGTAGGGTTATTTTTATTAAATTGTGTCGATCCAATGAAATACAAATATTGGCTTGGCCTCAATTCAGTCGTTGAACTAAATAAATATTCTTGAAGTATATTGAATCAAAATAGCGTTTTTAATACTTTAAAAAGTATTAACGTTAACTCATCGGGCTGAAACAATGAATCAAATTACAGTATTTGTTTCGAAGAGATCATGTCTCGTACTATATCGAGTCTGAGTGGACAGAACTTTTTCAAATACATGAAACTACCATAATATCACAACGATTACCAGAATGCTTTGCGTGTTGCAATGCATTGTGGTTTCACTTCTGAAGTGAAGTTTCTAGAATGACACAAATCACTGTTCTAAATGTACGTTTTTCAAAGATAAGCTCAKCTATTTTTATTAATTATAAATTCCGTATCTGATGTGAAATTGTTTTTACATCTACAATGTCTGAAAGATTTTAGATCGTGGGTGCATTCTACTCCTTTTTTTTATCACTAGACTTTTCGTTTGAGGTATTGTTTTGTCTAGCTCTGCAGGCTGTCATCAGCCAATAATAAGGTAAATTGGGCATCTCTTTTTCATTGGCTAGACTTCATTCATTATTCCCCGCGTTAAGTACTTTCTATAAAGATTTCAGTTTACACTATGTACCGAACTACGACAGTCAACATGTCTGTGTTTGGATTCGCTTTCTCTCCCGAGTGGTTAACACATAGAAGCCGCAAACGGCCATATGATACATAACTTGTTATATATGAAGAAAACTATTTTACGCGGATCGCCGATATGTTTTTCATTATTATCATTATTATTATTATTTTATTTTTTTAAGGAAAGTTTATCAGTTGAAAATTTTCTAGGTGTTATAAATCAAACCATGGAATTAGTTTTTATGCATGTCTTTTTAACAAATTAAAGCYTTTGGCAAATAATCGCATTAAGCTGATTCCATACTTCAATTTGATGTCTAGTGCCGGTACTTTGAGTGATCGGTAAAACGAACATGTTTTCATATTTCCTGTAATTAAATAACGACATTTTCAAAGTGTAACTCGAACTTTGAAATAGCATGGYTTTGATTCAATGGATTTCATTCTCAATTWAGCTCCTATGCGAAACGTTTTTGTACAGTGTCAATTAGCAATCCAAAGAAAAATATACCGCATTATAACTTGAAAAAGGGACTGTTCGACATCAATACAAATTATTCCTATTCATTGTGCTTTCTCTTCGCTATTTTTACCGATGAAAACAGTACAAATTGAAGTGAATAGAATAAAAACTACTTTCGTCAATAAAAGATGTCTTTCGCAGTGGGAGTTCAGCACCAGAAAGATCTTTCTGTGAAGTATTGAATAATTTGGATTGATCACAAGTCGAAAAACATTATTTTGACATTATCTTCTTTTGTGTTATGTTGTTGGTTCTGTCAACATATTATCAACACTAAAAAAACACTGTTACTCTAGGAAACTCACATAAAAAAGACCTGACAGTATATTAAAAATATTGCCATCAAGGACAGTCGCCCGCCATTTTGATAGAGCTGATTCTGTTTCGTAAATCAACAACTAAAAAAGACAATAACAGCCTACCTTTTTGACTTTCATCTCAAACTTATCAATATCGTAATACGTTTCGCGTGATTTGCTCTTGTTTTACGTGAGAACAGTGCGATTTGGTGCACCTTTCCTCTCTATGAATCACGTGATCGCCTTATAAAGCGAGGGAGCGAATTACCATCGGGGCAATTGAGCCATTTAGTGCGTCACTCCTGGCTTGAACAAAACGATGAAATTAGATCAAAGCACCAGACATCGATGCCCCTTAGCGAGAAACACCATTTCCTGGCGAACTTTCGGGTTTTTGATAATTGAAATTYCCTAAATATTTAAGAGCAGAGTCGTATTGGACAAAAAGCTGATAAAAGTGTATTTAATTGCCAACATCTTTTCCTTATAAATAGGTGGTTGTGATTCATCAAGATCCATATCTTTCGTGTTTTTTTCTTCGGAAATCTTCATGATACGCGGCAGTAGTGTTTCAAATTGTATAAGTCATATCTTAACTTTACACAAAGGTTTATCGTGCAGCTGTAAGAAAAATTGTTGCATTTTATCTTTAGGTAAATATGCTGAGAGGATTACAGGATAAACAACTCCGAAACGTTACACAGAAAAAAATCCTATAAAACGTCAGTTATTTAATACTGTATTTGAACACTTTACAATCGATTTAAGATCGATATGAAGTTGTAAATTACCCTCGGAAATTGAGGCGGCTTTCTTAATCTAGGAGTAAACAGTATTCGGTATTTTTGTCGCCGAGTTTATCTCTACTCAACCTCAAAATAGTCCTGCGCGATAATCAGGTGATTCTTCACTTTGTAATCGTWAATATTTTTTCARGAACCGCATTTCAGACGATGTTGGCAATCGTTAAAGTGTTGTACCTGATATATTTCGTGTATTTACATCAAATACTGTCTCTTTGGATAGGAATGTAGTAACTATTCAATACAGAAGACTAGCATAATTGAGATGAATAGAAAATGACAGCACTGGAGCGAAAACATTTCGTGCCCTTCTTGTGGTATATCAGCTTGAGAGATGTAAGGTTATGTTAGAAGTCTCACCTTAAACTAGTTATCCGTCTGTGTCCTTCCAAGTCCTTCACTTTGGCCTGGTCTGGCGTGGTGTTTTTATAAGCGAGCGAATATGTCAGTTTTATACTGTTCTAACATGTTACGGTAATCAATAAATTTAAGGCTCAGCTGGGTGCCTAATTTTGTATCAGCCTTTAATAATGTTAGCAATCAATTGGCAGGTGCCTATACAAATATGACTGGTTGGTTCATATAGACTGATAACTGTGTGAAATACAAATATACTTTCTGAAGCAACCTGTTTTGGCATGTCAAGAACACAATTTCCTATTGAATAGTGTTAGAATTAGCAGTCACAGGGGCGATTTTGCGATGTGAATCGAGTCGGGACATACTCTCATTTTTGTTATGCAAATTGAGAGCTCTGTTATCGTAAGAGTGTTGAAATGTAATGATTCATTTTATGGACGATCATTTGGGATTTCCCCTYGAAAAAATAAGAATTACATTTTACTTTTAAAATGCTTTGATTTGGTTATACTATAACTGGATTTGTTAAATGTTTGCACWCCAGTAACTTTAGGAACTAAGAGGTTTTTGCTAGGGAAGCGTCACCCAACAATCACTACAATTAAACGAACGATTGCTAATTAATTACCTCAAACCACAAGAACCCAGCTTCTTTCATGTGGAAAGGCCGCCATGTATGTGGCAAGAAAGTTGCGGGGATATCAGTGCTGTATTTTTATAAAAGGTTTTTCTAACAAAGTCAAACTTTGAGTCTATTCTTAACCGCTACAACTGAAACTGTCTGGATTGCCAGTAATTACATCATGATTATCATTACCGTTAATATAGTTTTTTTCCGCAGTTCAATTATTATCTATACTTAAAGAGGTTTCACCGACCCAACAGCAGCAACTGTTTCTAGAAAAAAATAATTAAAAAACCAAGAAAGCTAAATATTTTGCTTAAAAACGGTACAACAATGTTCATTAGATGTTAAAAAATAGCTTGACACCTTGTCTTTATATAGAAAATACACTGATTTTTTTACAGTTGCAATCTTAAGCGCGGAAAGTGCGCTATTATRTTGTTTTGGTTCCGGACGGAATTTATGTTGATAAAACTATTAAGTGAATTATATGAGGGGTTATTGCCGCACTTTTTAATAAATATCGTGCGAAACATAAAACGCGCACCGGAATCAAGACGGTATAACAGTCCTGATCAGCAAATCTACTATTTGTAAACACTATGCTCACAGTGGTAAATATATTATATAGAGTAAAATCAACATTAAACACTTTTAACTGTGAAAAAAAATCTAAAAAAAAAAACAATTCTCGGTTTATTGTAAAACAAACCCACTTATTCGTGAAACGAAAATAGTACAAAATAGTTGCTAAAAAATGCTAATTCCTTCTTCTCTATTATCACAACAAATTATTTAATATTAAATAGGAATATTTGTTTCACAGATTGAGYGCGTGTACTCTATCAAATGTTTTTCTTCACTGAAGAAAATGTGATGTTTTCTYTAAAATWTTGAAAGTATCTGACTGAAAGTGAACGGCGCGATTTGAAAAGCAGCAGCGGCGGTGCTCTGTTACTTCTGTTGTGGTTARAGTACTACTAATTGGGCCCAAGATAACATAGCTCCTGTTTTGAAAARAGCCTATGTATATTACAGTCAATTTTGGTTTAAATAACAGACCCCGCCCTCCACAATGACATCATGAATGGCAAAGAAAGTTTTGTTTTTGTGTGTGTGTTTTTCCTTGTTTTCCGTAGATTTTCACTCACAGATCACCCATGATGGGCGTCTTTCAGAAAGAAAGCTTTTGTTTACGTACGTTTTCAGATTGTAAAGAGCTCGCTAATTCAGTGTACGTAATGCCATACTAATTCAATAGACTATTATTACTATGGGTACACAAACAGTTATTTTTAGTATTCTGCACTGTAGTTTTCCCAAGATACTAAAACAATCTAGGAATTTAGCCAAATGTGAAATATTTATCATTATTCCTTATCTAATTGAAATCCTATATATTGCCATGGATGCAAAGAAGTAGCGCATGAACACCAAACAAACGCCTTATTTCTCATGTATCAATGCAAATTAGACAAATATTTTGTTGTTTTTTTTCGCTAATCTCCGGTCATTTTCATTGAATTCGATTGATTAGTGTGAGATTCACCGTTTGAAAATAGCCTAGTATGCAACGTTAACTAATAGTACAGAACAGTTGTAAATTGATTAAATAATTCCATTGTTTCAATTACTCTGTCAACTAAAGCTGCTGAAAACGTTACACACCTGTTTTGCACTCTAATCTAAACCATGAACTTTTTCTGTTGAGAAGTGTTTTTCTGATCGAAACTGAACACTAAGGCAATCTTCTACTCAATCATGCAAGATAATTTTCAAATAAGCCCAGATAAATGCTTTCAAAACGTTTTTTTATACGCGATAATGTTTCGTCGTGGTTTAAAAAGTGTGTTTTGGAATCGAGAGAAAACAAGACAATCTAGAATCAAATCGAGACAATATTCAATGCAAWTTTGAATAAAGCATCCAGAATGTAGCCATCGAAAAGATAACCTAATAATTGTTATGTGAAAAYAAACTAAAATAAGGTGGTTAACAACAAAGTTCAAATCAATCGTTTTTTTCATGTGAAAATTGAAATGTTCAAATTTCTAACGATCCGAAAATAACCTCAAGCGAAGGGAATTTAAATTTTGAGTTTCGGTCAAAATTTCGTTATATAGATAGTGTTTTTTGTATCAATCGTAATATAACTCAATCAAGTACAAATCATTTTTCAAGTAAAGCATGCATTTAAACACTATAAAATGTATATTCAAATATCCACTAACCTATATATGGTTGTCGGGTGTCCAGTRGTTGAAAAATACGTAACAACTATGGCTAACTCCAGCAAGAAAACTTCCAATCAAGCTTCGAGAAAAATAAGATAGTCGGTCTTATATATTTTTKCTCACAAASRTGAGAAAAGGTGGTTATTTGGCCGACATACAACAAGTGTATCTTCTTCTAATGTCGTGTGGACCAGTTTGGCTTTGCACAGCAGGAAGCAGTTCAGGATCGCTAAAACCCGTTTAATTTAAATAATCCGATTAGATTTCACAATGAAATAAAAGAGAAGTAGAATTCTCACATTGGAAACATGCCAGACTTCCTGAATTACTAGCATTCGTTATAGAAAACCAGAGCTATGAGTCTGTAATATAAATCATGTATTGAATCCATATATCCTCTTTATTCTTGTCTAWCAGTTGTGTTTCTCAAATGACGTGCATGGTCAGTGATATGGTCAAAGTTCAGTTTGTTCTTCATGAATTTGCGCAAACCTCGCGGACTGTGGGATCACTCTGCACCATACTCCAACATTGTGAGCGTTTAAAATAGAATAAAATGTGTATTTATTCAGGCCTCTATAGCAGATAAACTGAATTGTAGGCCGGCCGGGAGATACTACTAACGTAACAATTACTCATAATGCGAAATTCCAGTGAAAATTTGCTCGTCACAAAATTCTTGAATCTTGCATTTCTGCCAAAAAGGTTTTAGTGCGAATGTGCCCTTCTTTATTAAATCATAGGTGCAAGTTGGCCTATCGACCCTATTCTTAGCGTTATAATAAAGTGGGTTRTTTGGCTCTAGAGATTTAATAATGATTTGGAACACTTCTCCATTCTTCATTTGCTAAAACTGTGTCTGTTTGCTCTTCTTAGTGCGCCATTTCTATAAGACATGCTTGGAAAAAATGATTTTGCTTAATGGATCTTTGTGGATACTCTCTTCATTATAATGCYTCTTCAAGATATTTAAGGTGATTTATTAAAAACGCACCGTAGAGGCATATTCTAATATCGATCTAACAAATAGACTACATAGATTTCTCCTATTTTTCTAATTTATAAATTTATTACGTTGAATATCATTCATTTGTTTATTGAMACGTTTGTGGGAATGCAAAATCATCTTATTGAACTCATCTACTCAGTTAAAGTACAAACACTTAAAGCAACATAAAGAGTCCAAAATTATTATATTCATTTTATGCTAATCCTATTGTTCCCTATTGTTAATTAGCACTTATTATCAATGAATAGTGTTAAATGTTACACACTTATTTGCAGTTTATTGTCACTCAAATTTCGTTTATTTTTTCTCTAATTGTTGAATTAACGCCTTGTGAATGGTTTATTTTTTATTTGCGTACTTTTTTCAACGTAGGTTACATTCTACACATAGTCTTGAATTCATTATAATATAGTAGATGTGTTTATTTTTTCATACTATTTCATTTCATTTTGTTTTTATTTTTCATTTTGTCGGTTTCCAATATTTGTTTTGGCTATCTGTTTCTAGATTACAAGAGATTTATCTAGACTCCTCGTTAACTCTTTAAAAAAAACTTTCTTTAAAGCTTTTAGTCGAAACGCCAACCAAGAACTCTGTCTTTACACGTTTTACTATTCCTATACTTCAACCCAAACAATAGTTAAACTAAACTCGTTAACCGCAATTAATGTACTTTCTAATAATTTCTGTATTTTGGGTTATCATCATTGCTGCTGCTACCATTTTTCAAAATACGTTTAGGCACGTCTAATTTCTCGTTGTCCAATTAAATCTTTATCTAGATATCTTGCTGATTTAAGCCTATTATGTTAGGTCGACCATAAACAAATCTAGTATTTGTAGCAGTACTTGTAGTACACTGCTGTGAAAGATAAGCATTAATTTGGTTCCTAACTTCCAAAATAGAGTTCAAACGTGAGGGGGTCAACTCAGGTGAACATAAACTATACACCCTTTTAATAAGTCCCGAGATTTTGTATTCTCCGCACTTGACGTCAAATTTATTCTTTTGAAGTTTTTTACAATACAAAAGGAATTCAAAAGAATACATTTGACGTCAAGTGAGGAGAACACAAAACCTCGGGACTTATTAAAAAGGTGTATAGCCGTAATGATTAGGCAGAGAATTGGTACCCCCCCCCCCCCCCCCCACTTAGCGTCTACAAATATATCCTATGCTCATTAGGACTTCAGTACTCTAACACTAGAAAGACAATTATTTTCAGTGCTTAATCACCTATTTCAACACCAGAAACAACAATCTTTAACTTTATTGGACACTTCTATAAAACTGCATTTTCGATCCTTCAAAAAACTTCGGAATTTCGAATGTCAGTTTTTGTTGTGAGAGGCGCCTAAAATGCTTAAATAGGGGTATATAAAATTATGTTCTCAAAGTGCGTAGTTGTGAAAAACGGTATCTACTTATTCAAGGATAAGATCTTTGAGTGCATCTTAACGTTAGCCTTAAGGTGGAACTAAAAAGAAAGAAAAGAAAAGAAATGAGTTGTTGTGATTATCCACTAAGGAGTCTCCGGTATGTAGTATGCAGCAAATTCTAGCATCCTCGTTTCGTGAGGACAGCCTTCAAATTGACTGATAGAATGATGCTATACTCCAATCTATATTGATCTCTTCTATCTGAGAAACAACAGTTCTAAGAAAAATACATAAACATTTAAATATATTTTAAGAGTTCCCATAGCGTTATACTTATTCTATATAGAAAAGTTTCAAAGCGTCTAAGAGATTGATTTTGTCTGTTATCGTAAGACATTGTACAGAAATAGGCGCATGATAGCATACTCTGCAGGAAGTAGTGAACATAGACGTATCAAGAACTGTTACAMCACACTAAAAAATAATGAAAAATAGTGAAAACAATAGATTTAAAATAATTGGATCCAAAAACTCTAGACAATACCGTGTCTGTGATAGATGGATCTACTGAACCATTAATGAGACACACCTATGCTCCTCAGCAAGTTTTCTAGATCATAATGAATCAATAATACTCCAATTTCGAGTTCTGGTTTTCTCTGTGTTAGCCTCAAAATCAAGTAACATATTCCATTGTTTTATTGAAAGCCCGAGAAAACGCTTGGAATTTGTGAAGAAAACAACAAAATTTATTTGAAATCTCACACCTTTATTCTCACAATTAGGAATATTTTGCGCACAAATGAGGCTAACACAGAGCACTGGAGAATTCGAAACTGGATTATTATGGGAAATAATCTAAAAACTCATAATTTTAATTTATTGTAATTCTTTTATTGGGTGAGTTATCCTTCCAGCAGAGAAAGTTCGCACTCCCACTCAAAGACATGGTTAGGGTGACCAAACTGAACTGAGAAATATTTCATGTGGCAAAGGCGAGGTTAATAGCCGAGAATACGTGCGTCATATAACAATGGAACTGTAGTTGTGCATAACAGTTTAAGTTTGAGGGGTGGCCAATTGTTATCAACGTTACGTACGCAGTTTCCTTTAGGGCAGAAAGCATATARTTCGGTAGCAAACTTAGAAGAGGGATGGAAAGTACTTGACTTTAATTGAAGTAATTTTCCTTATATTCACATTTTTATGTTTGTTTGTCACATGATTTTTCTCTTACCGTGTTTATATCATTACAGAGACGCRCGTTTAACCTGCGTGGATTGTGAGCATGCGTATTAAGGAAATTACWGGCCTTAAATATAGATTACTACCAAATTTATACTCATGCTGTAACACCAGGTCTTAAGCGCAACAATCTTAGAGTTGGTCAGTCTTGGGTAGCCTGTTGTTTATATGATGTACTGATAATTTCCTCTTCTAGTAGTTGGTAATGATAGGGAGGAGTGTAAGATAACACTAATATTGCTTAAGAAGTTTCGCATTTATCAATTGAGTTACAAAGGCTTATTCTTTGTGCTTTATTTCATAGCGAAGCATCGCTTGCAATTGAGAAAAGGAAGTTCAACATCAGGCGTGATTGTTGTTAGACTACAGTATTACTTATTGGTAAAGAAAGACTCTTTTCTAAACTACAACTGTTGGGGGAAACCGATGGATGATTTATCATACCTTGGGATTAGATTGAGAGCATTAACATCGAGTACCTCCTTGAGGATGCTTTCCAGCAATCGTGAGACCAATATAGAATCCCGTAGACCGTTGTCAAAGGTGAAAGAAAATAAAATGATGTTTTGAAGTGTTTAGAATAAACAAGTCATTAAGGAGATTGCCATGATTCAGATTTCACTCTGTAATATAGCATTTTATCTTGTAACGCATCATAACAGAAAGTGTATATCTGTCAGAGCTTAAAGAGTAATGAAAATTGCATTGTATAGATAATTCCAAGCGTTTTTAATTGGTTTTGAACTCGTTTTTCGCCTTTCGCCGCATGTTGCTATTGTGCACCAATAAGGCTATGGTTCATATTAAACATTAATCACCTCAACACAGATTACCCTCCTATCTAAATACTGATCTTTTAACTGTATTGTAATAAAGCCATAAAAGATGCAAGCTAAGATACTCAGGTTCTCATAACGCAACGAAAGAAAATCCATCTTCATGACAGTACTAGTTACTAAGCAATGTACAACAGACATGACCTACAAATCTTATTTGCGTGGTTTTCACGTAGACGTCTGGCTGATGATAAGTGGTTGAGCTTTCTTTACATTAGCCAAATTGCTCGAGGCTTGATAGACATAGAAAATTTAATTTTGTACTACATTTTGGAGTATACTACTGCTATATATTTCAGTTGCTAATACGGCTGTATTCCRCACTATCTTATACTTTCTTTTATACTATGTATTTGTATCTGTATATGTGATTAGATTTTAGACTATTTCTTGTTTTACATTGAATTTTTCTTCACATTTCACATATTGACGGTTAAAATATTTAACTTTCAACTCATTTTGCCTATTACTATATTATATAAAACCTGATTGATACTGATTGAATCATAAACCGYCCTGATCTGGAAATTCGCGACTCAGTTGATATTTGTTAAAAAATAAATGGACTAGGAAAACGACCATCAAATGAAAGAGTATCTCACCATCGAAGCTGCGTTGAATATTCAGCGGTTTTCTCACGCAGACTAGAAATTGATTGACGACGTCATCATGACTTATTCCAAAATTCGAGAAATTTCGCACCGTAAATTAAATAATCTTCTGAAAAATTGTTATCTGTAGATAAAAATCTTGAAGAGTAGCTTCCTGTTTCTCTTCGTACGTAAAGAGAGTAATGTGAATCAGTGAAAAAGTCCGCCATTTTGAAATGAGTAGCGCAAGGCATTATGGAGTATGTCATCCTCTTGCTGACCTGCAGACGGTTGTATGTAGGTAGAACCCACACAAAAAAATGAAGTAGATAACTTAATACACCTTTCGTACAACCGGCTCCTTATCTTTAACTTTGCCGCCAAAGTCTGTCGTAATCTCGACATCAGTGATACACGGTTAAAGCGACCATTTTTCAAGAATTTTCTGGATGCGGTGTATATTTATATGAATAGTAATGTCAATATCAGATGATATATTTTGTAMGTTTTTTAAGCTTTAATCATTTCCTTTCCTATATAGTAAATCCCTTTTAATGAAATTTTGACACTTCTCGATACATGCATAGTTAGTAGAGGGGAAATTCCTCTCTACTAACTATGATACATGTTGTTTACATGAGATCTACTAACTACTCTTGAACAAAGAAGATGCCAGCATTTCATTGCATGATGAGAACATTACTTCCCTTGACATACATGATAGTTCATTATTAAATCATTAATGATTATGATATATTGGTCGATAATAATTATAATCCTGAAATGATTAATCAAATATCGATTCACCGATGCCATGTTGTTTAGATCTTTTCGTCAATCTGATAAATAAAATTATTACTAATCAAATATCGATCGATGAATCTCCTCATAGGGCGTTGTACACATATGAGTAATACAGCCAATAACCTATTAAAAAGAGCGCGTAGGTCAGAGGAAAGCAAACACGTGACCATTTATCGACACGGTGGTAGCTGCCATCGCTATTGTATAAAGTTCTAGTGTCTCCCTCTGCAACAAAGTGCTTGCCATGTTTGTGTCTCTCAGTGCAGTTGGTACCGTTACGATCCATGATTGTTATGACTACATTCATGTTCTCAAGATCTTGATCTCCCTACAACAAAATCAATATATACTGAGTAACTGATATCTTACTACYCTGATATCTTTACCCTGTAAAACCAGTTATAAATCGCTAGCAAATACCAGAAAGCAATGAAATTAGAAACTAGTGCTAAGGTTTTAAGGTGTTTTAGTTTTAACCCTGTTTCATCTCTTCTGAAAAGTTTGACTTGTTTGAAACATCTTTTCATTTGAAGCTTCCATTCATTATTTTCCTTTCGTCCATTCTTTTATTCTCRTCCTTTGCTCATCCATTCATTCATTCACGAATTTATTTCTAAATCCATACATTGTACAAGAGTAATCGAATTCATCCATCCATTTTCCCTTTCATTTATTATACATTCATTTAGGGTTCACCACCAGAAGACTAGTATAGTTWACAACACCTACCCTTCTTTCCCTAAAAGCATGGCCGTTCATATGCCCRTCATCAGTATCYTTCTTTTCTTTTCGTCGATTTGAAGGCTCCGTATTYARCACAATAACATATTCCAGAAGTGTGCAAAAGATAAATAGAAAAGACACCGATAGAAAATAGTCAATTGCCTTCATGTAGCTTACTTTCGGCATATTTTCATTAATTGTTGAAGACAAGAATAGTATAGCCAATACAGTGGTTACAGACAGGCTGACCCGCGCAGGAACAGCTTCGGCTGAAATCCAAAATTGACACCATGATATGATAACCAGAAATATTGTAGGCATAAAGCTTTGATAGAAGAAATATGTTGTCCGACGCTTGAACGAAAACCAAGCTTTGACACTCGAGAACGATCCTGAAAATAGACATAGAAAATGTTGCTAAATTGCGAGGAGAACCACGGTGACAGGGCGGGGTGAATGACCCAGACATTAGGGAGGGGGGGGGGGAGCAACTATGAACAGAGTGGCTGATTGAGATGTTGTGTGGACGCCTTATGTGCCTAATGGCGCGAAGAGAACCCATCATGAAACTGAAATTATGAGGAAAGTTGTATTGCAAGTTGCTGCAAGCGTTGCGAAAAGCAGACCTAATGCTACTTCGTGAAATGCCTCTACGACGAGACAATTCCATGATATTATACAGCGATATTTATTTCACCGCGCCATTGCAATACAAGTTCAGAATACCGTTGGATTTCTCTCACCTTTACTATTTGATTGAGCTCCAGAATCCTTTTTTACTTCCAGAAGTTCAAACTGTGCGATTCTTTCTGATACGACTTCTATTCCATCTCCCTTTTTACCACTTTTCCACTCGTACCGAATGTCTTCCACTGTATGGGCATCTAAAGAATTCATGGTAATAGTTTTCAGTATTATAGCTATTTCAAAAAAAGAGTTGTCAGAGCGAAACGGCGATTTCACGACCGAGAGTTAATTCCGGTATTCAATTTTTGATGGAAAATACTCGATTATTTGATGAAAATGAAAAACACTTGCATACCAAACAAATCACCATCGCAAATCTTTATTTGATGGAAACAACATTATTGATGCCTCTAATGAGTAAGTATCGCCATCAATAATCCATACCCATAGTGACTTTCGGTCGTGCATTTGCTCTTTGCTATGACAACGTTTTTTGAAATAGCTGTATATGTGGTAGCGATTGTTGCACGATTAGTGATAATAAAGTAACTTACAACTTTCAATAACTAGAGGGCAACGTTGTGTGTCCATTGGATAAAGTCTAAAATCCATGCTGCATTGAACAGTTAGTGTAATCCTTGAATAAAAATACATAAGAATAATATCAGTACTTTGATTTTACAACGTGAATGCGGCAACTCATAACTCACATAATAATAATAACAAATTGTGACGGATGAAGACAAATATTACGATTTTCAGATTAACAGTACGTTATGTGTCATTATATATGTTGAAGTCATTACCTGCATTATTTCAATAGCTTTTCGTACGTTTGAGTGGACAAAAGAAATAACAAATCCATCATCAAATCATCTTATAAGTAGTTTTTCGCAGTTAGCTATAGTGTCGTGCGCAAATTTGGGATTTTTAAATGTATTTAGCGGACTACTTGAGATGTATTTTTCATTATTAGCAGATCATCTGACTCTTTTGCATCCGGTTCATTTTTCTGGGACTCCTTCGCAGCCGTTATTAGACCCACCTTGTGCTAAAATATATCCTCCCGTCCGGCCAAATCATAATCCTCATGTTCTCCCTCGTAATAAAATGGTAAACAGATAACTTGGCATTGACAAAGTATGTATCAGGAGTCCAAAATAGTTTAGTGGCATCGCCAGCAATGTTGAATGTTCTATCGACGTTATGTTTGAACCGTGGATCCACCCACCATTGACGAAAATAGATATCCATCGAATATTCCTGCACAGAAATGTAAACTCGAAGTTATTTTCTTCTTATATAAGGGAAAACKGTACGTGTAGATGAAGGAAGAGGTCATTGCATTCACTGGAAATTGCCACCAAAAGCAAACATGAATTATCGGCGTTAATCATTTGATGGTTCATGGGGTTTCTTGACTAAATGAATGGATATGAATAAACCTTTATTTATAAAGCTCAGGGTGGTCCCATCAGTTGCATGTTCATCTGTTATCAATGGGAACCCTGAGCACAATAAAGCTATAAAATACAATAGGTAATGAAACTTTGTCAGGCTTACCATTCTTGCTTCCAGGAACTCACCAAAAGAAACTATCTTTAATTCTACTGTGACATCAACTGGCTCACCTGTGAGGAAAGAATTCATAAATCACACAATGAAAACTTCACTGAGCACCATATACTTCATTTAATTGAAGGAATTCATTGCAAAACTGACCAGACAAAATGCAGCAGTCAACGTATATAACATAACTGTAAGTAGAAATGAAGTTTATTGCCATCTTTCGTCATGGGGTAGGACAATAAACTGAACCTTTTACGTCACTACTTGATTTTTAATGCATTGTGGGATCAGTTTCAAGAGAAAACAAAAGAAATCCGCCATGTTCTCTCCCATGACAGAGAACTGTATACGGTACATGACGTAAAAGCTTCAGAGTCTATTGTTAACTTAATCTAAACCGCTTTCACGCCGAGTTCTTACTAGCCTGTGTACATCCGTTTCTCACCCCTCACAAAAAAATCGGGGAGAGAACGGCGTTTCCTCACCGAATATTTCCCGCAGAGGGGGAGGGTTGGGAGCGGATGTACACAGGCTAAGTTCTTACCTCCATCATTTGGGCGTGCCATGATATCATAACCACTGTCTTTTATAATGTAATTGATAACTCGAGATAAATTCTTGGCTTTTTGCATTCTTTCTGTATATCTGTCAGTTAATAAAACAAAAATATATTGCGAATTATTTGAAATGAAGACATTTTGCAGTATTTTTTAAGTTATGGCTTCTTACCCGAGTTCCACATTGCTACAGTCTACAAACGCTATTGATGCTAGTAAACAGCATAATACAGTTGCTATGTTCTTCATTTTGACTAAAATGAAAAGAGAAAAATARAATAAATCTGGAAGAAAGAAATAATAGGAGAATGAATAAGTAAATGGAAGGATGATCAATGAATTTATTTATTTTATCTCAGAAACTCATAAATTATTTATCATGAAATTTTCAGAAATCACGACCGTGAATTAGTTTGTAAGTCGTATTCAAAATAGTCCTAAAATTCTCAGCAAGAAATTTAATTTCCAATTAATTTTAGTCAGATGTTTAAGAAATCATATTTGTGATCGATCTGTTTGGGATATATGGCTTGGCATTGTATATCCCAAATGAYCGTCCGGCGTTCATCTTATGAGTATTCAGAATGAAAACAACCTAAGACTAATAAGGTAAAGGACACAAAGTCCCTGGCCAAGTCATGATATTCCGACAATAACAGTAAACAGAAAGAAAATAAGCATAAAATGTACCATTATGTTTTAAAAGAATACGTACACGAAGCTAGAAAATTTCTAAAATAATGAACGACCACAAAAGATCTAAAAAAACGTACGAATAAAAGTGATAACGTATATGAATGATATAGAAACTATCAGTAGCTTTATAATTCATTTGAACACTGAAGTACGACTTTTATCAGCACTAATAGACTATTGATATTATATTAATATTAATAACTACTAAGTAAATACTAAAACAGGTTAATTTAATTAAGTTCAAAACTTAGGCGAATGGACAAACAGAATGAATAAAAAATGAATAAATTTCAACTAAGATTGAAATAAAAATGAAAAAATGTACATATTTTGTGTAACTGATGTGGAAACCCTTGATTACAATTAATTAAACGATTCCTGTAGTCAATAATAATAGAACTATCGAGTTATAAATGCATTATATATCCATGCAATTTACTAACTAAGATACTAGATAATGATACTTTTTTATCCATTATTTCATCGCTACAAGTGCATAGTCAATTATTAGTGTTATGTTATCAATTAACTGAATAAACTATCCATATCAATTCTGAATGCCATTTAAATGTAGTGTTAAATTGAAAACGTCTTAAGAAAAACTTAAACAGTACATTTAGTGATAATTATAAGATTTTCCTTTGTGCTATTAATTCCTTACATTTTAGTACCTTTTTTCGTTCAATTAGTTTCAAAACCCATTGTCATTTGTTTCCTCTATGTATAAATTCCTGTATTTACTTCATGTACCATCCAGACTGATTGCACTTTGAACAATAAAACAACTGGTACAGGATTAGTTGCTGGTTAAGKGTACAAAAATAACTGAATTAAAATTTAACCATTCTTTCCCCATCGCGCTATCTACAACTTTAAAAAATTGACTTTATTTTCATTCTTCAATCAGATGTATGTTTTTCAACACACATTTTGGAAAAAACTGGGGGGAAAATTAGCTTGTATAGGACTACTGGTGTTATTTTGCACTTTAATTATAAGCGCTATTCTGATTCAATTTGTACGTAACCTTTACGTTTTAATACCGTTTCGCTATACGTAACTAAACGGAGTCCACAGCGTAATTTACTACAATTTGAACACAGCTCATTCGTCTTGTATTAATAGGAAGTCAAAATTCGTTTAGAACTTGCATCCGGAATTTACCATATTTTACTCTCTGTCGCCCCTAGTGTGGTCAGCAGTTCTGACGAACTCAAAGTAGCCGCTCAGTTTACAAACATGAGCGTCAGCAGGTTAGAGTGTTAGTGGTTGGTTAGTCCTAAGGCTAAGCCGACTGAGGATAGCCGTGCCTGCTTCGTTTAATCGTTATGTACCGTTCTTAACGTTGAACTTCCGTTTTTTACTTCCTTGTCCGAGAAGACGTGAAAGCCTAGCCATGGTTAACGCAGTACGGATCATTTTATGAATTGTATCTTTTCTTTGCGTTTTACGTGTCCCAGGTATATATATTCACTTGTTAACATGATACGCACGATGTACGTACTATTGACGTACTATYTCGTACGGAGTTCTCGTGGAGTTTTTTCTTTGAAATATTGATTTTAGATGTTCTCTTAAACTCAATTTCGAATATATAATAATGATTAAATTTCTAAAAATAATGATTATATTTTTACTTTAAGAAAAGACAAAAGTGAACTGAGCCCGCGCTAACGAACTTAGCAACATCAAATGAAATTCACTTACCTAGCAACAAGGTACTAATTGCTTGACACATTCGATAAACATGTCTTAATTAGTTAGATATACTTTCACTAAAATCGTTAATTCATAGTGAAAGCACAACATGTAACAACATGCATCTAAAATGACTCTCAGTACATACATACAAGACTAGGACTTATGCAGGGATTGAAGCARGAGGGATCCCATGCACCTGACGTTAATGCTGTATTCGCGAAACCGAATCAATGTACGATTGAAGTTRGGYATATTTTCAAATGTTCAACAAATTTGAGCAGCTTCCACAAAAACTCCACAAACGCTGATCTCCAACTTTTTTCATACCCCGAYTTTGGTCAAAAACAATATGACAAGGACACTAGGGACACTTAAATTGTCCGAGCGTGATAAGAAAACTGTTATCGAAATAGTAGTGGATTACATTGATTGAAGTTAACCTAGTTAGAATTGACTAYTAGTAAAAAATGTTTGATATGAAGAAAACACACATAAGAAAAAGTAACGAGCATGTTTTGGGAGAATCGTAGTAATGATCCCAAATAGTAAATAAACACAGTTTCCTGACGAAATGCCGCRCAGAAAAGAGAAGAATATTTCAAGTTTGTGATGATAAAAATTCTCAGTTTCTAATAAATATTATTATCTAGATTCTCTCGGGGTATATTAAGAATATACAGGTGTAGGCTACAACAACTTAAMGTAATAGAAATGACATTGTTCAAGCATTGTAAATACTTGTCGATCAAGATACATAATCCATTATGTTCCTGACACACAAAAACTACCCCAAAAACATTGCTCTTCGTAAAGATCAACTTTCTTTTTCAATKTGAAAASCMAAAACAAATGTTTTTTTGTTGATTTAGTCTCACCTTAATTACCTCCGAATCGATCCCTTGAGTTATATTATTGACAATCCATTACGTTGTAGAAATATAGTTGTTTGTTGAGAGTCCACTAGAACGAAATTCTCTGCGTTAATAAGGTACATTTCGTTTGTATGGTAACACCTTTTTCCATCAAGCGGTTTTTGAAAACATTACTATTACGAGACAATAGACAAGGACATGAATAGTGAATGYAGTACCAGCCAATTGAAAGCTATTCCTGGTACTCTAGTACTAAAGAACTCACGCCTTGAATTGTATCACATACACCGTACCACTACAACATACAATTTTAAAAAGAACTGGAATATAAATGGCTTAAATACTGTTCTCTTTTGCTTGTTTAGGATTGTTTAGAAGGTTTTATRTGTGTGATTTTGACTTCTAAACGAATCAAATATTATCCAAAGTACACAATGTCGATTGAAAAATAATTGCTAACAGTGATTGTTTGAAAACACATCATTTTCTCGTTAGAAAACAACAAAACAARAMGATCAAAATGTTTATTAYATATGATTAGGCGAATAGGAAAGTTCTGCTGAGTTAAAATTTCATATAGACCCATGTCAAGCCGAGAAATCTGCACTGGAGGAAAGCCTGTTTTCATCCAATGAAACCCATCYATTATACAACAGCTGTTCGATTTTCCACTATTTCTTCCTAATATCTGTTCGTAACGAGTATTCGGTGAAACGCAAAGCATCACGGTACTTCCCTGGCGCTGTTGTAACTATTGTCATTCTTTCYCTGTTTTTACGTTTTACGTTTCATTTTTTTGTGTGTGAAATATTCGTAATATGACACCAATAAAAGCACCAAAAATGTGTCGTTTTGTAAAACTGGCYGAGTCTTTTCTCTCTTAAATTACGAAATYCTTAATTCATAAACAACATGACTGCACATTGGGATTGTTTATGGAAATAAAAATAACAAGACGAGAGAATTTATACTTTTCCGTTAGGTTAATGCAGCTAATTTACCTTGGYATCGTTATTCACGCTTGCATCAGTCATACCCTACCACAATTGCTTGAAACAGCTTCGTTWTTGTAGTCTAAACTAGGAGAAAATGGAGGCTATTTTATGCAGACAACATAACATGTTGAGAACCAAGAACTTTTGCCATTAAAAAGTCATGAGAGACAGGCAAGCCTCGCAGTAAATCTGCCTTTTGCGAACTGGAAGTGTGTCGTGTGAATTCATAGTGATACAAGATAACAATTATTMTYTTRAATTATTTATGATGATCGTTCCCAGTGGGATAGTGCTTGCTGAATAAAGTTTGTAATTTCGCCCCTTTGAAATGCATTATCCCATTGATGTTCTTTAGTCTGGCCTTATTCCTGCAGCTGGCAATTTAGACGGTTTATTTCATAACACTCGGTTTATTCTTATGGCGAACTACGTAAAGATCCCTTTTATACCATCAAACCATGCGTCACTATTTTCTTCTAGCCGTTAGTCCGTTCTTAACAGCTTTTCAACACATGTTATCGCCAATTGGGCGTTTTTTCACATTTTATAACTGAACTTGAGATAAAAATTATAAGATAACTTTAGGAAGATTGCAATCRATAGGGGCTGAAATATAATGAATATTAGAACTCAAACCAAATGATACACTCGATTAATTATTTCTAGTTTGCATTATCAGCGTCGTGCTGATATTTACACATTGATATCAATGTCTACAAAAGATTAGAGAAATGTTTTCACAATCAACAAGCAAATCATAGCGGTTTATAGGGCAAGGAACCGAAATGCTGCATGGGATACTTCTTAATGACACTGAAAAGACTGACATATACGGATATTTTTGATGAAGATTTAAGTTTACCATGCATAAACCAGGCTCAGCTTCTACGACCAACGCTCTTTGATATATCTTATGCCTAATGCAACGTTCTTTAATAGCCYACTTTCTATATACTTACAAAAGCATTTAAGACGAGACTCTGGGGACAAAAGGAGTATCCATCGTCTTCCAAGAGCCTCGTCTTCATTCCTTTTGTGTTATTAATTAAACCAACCAAATCACCGAAAATAGACTTTTTTGTATACTGAAGTCAATAAGTTTAGYTAAATAATTGAAAAATCAAGATAAAATATAGGACAATTATAGCAAATCTCTCACCATTTTATTTCTCGCTACATTGACTTAGATTCCGCACTTTGTTTTCCTTTTCTTGAGATTTTGTCAGAYTAAATAAACTAGTTAACTGAAATACTTTAGCTTTTAAACATTACAGTAGAGGACATCGATACTTTTCACTGCACTCAAAAAACCCTCAAATAATTTACATCTAAAATGTTTCATCTGCGCAAATTGTACTCTTATATATCTTGGTAGAATATTTCTGAGTTGAAAAGTAGTTCTTTACATTTCWGGCGTAATATGAAAATATATATGAAACTTTAACAATAAATAGTGGAAGAAAGACTAAATATTTCGGTTTAAAACTTYTTATATCATAGGGGTGAGGTCAAAAAAAAAAAATAATAATGTGAATGGACATTATAACACTAGTACCCATTGTTCCCTTTCGTGTGTCTATTTGACCATCCCTCATTAACGGTTAAGATTTGTTTCACGGTTTTTTAGGTAGTCCAATACACACACAAGAAAACAATGGACCAATGTTTTAGTTTTAATATCTATTTCATGGGTTTATGGAAASAACTCTAATACCCTCACGCCTTATGATTATTGTGCAAGCAGTGTAACCGTGAAACTGTACTTYGTWTTTCACGGTTTGTAATTCATAATCCCTAACCCTTCTTTCGTTCGGTTAAGAWAATGACTAGCTAGTTTGTGCTAGTTGATAATAAACAAGGAAAAGCAATGAGTGTCAAGGCTACTACTATTAGCCTTACTATGCTTTCCCAATTGAAAGTAAACCTTTTTTAATAACTTATCTATTATATCTATAGTTTTCATCTCGTCCTTTTTGTGTATTTTTCCTTCAGTGAGCTTCCTTAGGRATCTCTGGTTCGTCGTCGCTAGAACTGTCACTCGAGAGTTCAATCTCCGCATGTAATGGGAGACTCTCGTGTACGTAAGTACATCGACCTCCTTCAGCAAAATCGCTTACTGCGTGTCCCTCCCCACGTAAAATCCACTTWGTCGTAAGAAGCCCTTCAACACCAACAGGTCCACGTGCGTGAATACGTGACGTACTGATTCCTACCTCAGCACCTGTAAAAAGGTAAGAAGAGAGAAGTGAATAACGAAAATTGACGAACCTTCAGACATCACGAAAATCGTGTATGAACCGCAGCGTCATACCGAACATCGCGCGTGAACCTTGCGTAATTACGAAAATTGCGCTTGTGAACCGAGGCGTCGTAACGAAAAGCGTGCGTGAACCGTATGAATGACTCTAGGTTATACGTGTGGACCGTAGCATCGTAACGAAAAGCGTCCGTGACCGTATGAATAACGCTATGTTATACGTGTGAATCTTGGCGTCGCAACGAAAAGCTCGTGTGAACCGTAGCATCGTAACGAAAAGCGTGCGTGAACCGTATGAATGACGCTAGGTTATCCGTGTGGACCGTACACACTTACCAAGTCCAAACCGATAACCATCAGCGAAACGTGTACTTGCATTATGAAACACGCATGCACTGTCCACGGTATTCAAAAACTTCTGAGCAGTCTCCTCTGTAAAAATACAACAATATTAATCTAAAATGCATTCAAACAACGAATCTCATATTTGCAGAATGCAAATGAGTAATTTAACTTCTCGATCTGCCAACAATTACGCGTTACGGAAGCCGAACTTGCGCAAGCGTTTCGCGTGYCTATGTGTCCGTATTGGCAGCGCATTCAATAATTTTTAATTTTTTCGCGTACGTTCTGTACGCATTAGTATTCATTTATTTCCCAGCTTGTAGATGTATATATGTTAGGTAAAACGTAATGAAATACGTAATGAATTACCGTTTTCTGTTACTATGGTATCTGTATGTGAACTACCAAAAGTATGTATATGTTTGATGGCYTCATCTACTCCATCAACTACTTCTATAGCGCACTCCAAAGCACTGTATTCCATCTGCATTGACTTGGCAGCAACTGGGGCAATGGGGAGTGTTTTTACCATACGGGGACCTGCATTTACTTTAACCTAAAAAGTATATATTGTCTATATCAGGCTATACCTTATGAACAGTATATAAGAATATACAGTTTATACAATTGTACAATGGCCGTTTGGCAGTGCATCCACTAGAACTGCTTTAAATTCATGACTTTCCATATGCAGGTTCAGTGTCCATGAACAAACAACAAACAAACAGACAACCTAAAAAAAAAACAAAACAAAAAACCAACAACAAAGCATTGAACTGAGGCATCAAGGAACACTTAACAATCTGAGATCAGAGCTCCTTGACGCCTCGTTTCAATGCTTTGTTTGTGGTCACTGAACCTGTGTATGGAAAGTCGTGAATATTTTTTACTTGTCAATCATGCTGTCAATCAAACTGACTTACCCCTCTTTCACTAAGGGCTGCAGTAACTTTATTTARAGTGTTGGTATTTATCAAATCACGGTGTATCAAGAGGGTTTCCATAGCATTACAGGCTGCTGGGTAATCACACTTTGAGTCTACRACTGAAATAGTCAACATTTGTTAACAATGAACTTGTTTTACCTATCTGTTTACTTGAACAATGTGACACATTGACACATTCTCTTTTATACTTACCAACTTTGACTGCTGTCTCAATGTCTGCATCTCTGTCCAGATAGACATGGCAGATTCCTTCAGCATGGCCTAATACAGGAATACCTTTACTTGCTTGTTGAATATCACGGATCATTTCTGAGGACCCTCTTGGGACAACAAGGTCAATTTCCTTATCAAGTTTTAGTAAATCTCCAATCTGATCCCGTGTGCTGATCTGTAATGACAATTAGCAAGTATCAGTTTATACTTCAATAAATGTAAAACTGCAAAATTTAGCTTRAATATGAATCAATTTAATAAATCAAATTGTCATACACAAGACATTCAATTAGTTTTTTACACTTAYGCTTGTGTTTTCAAGAACACATCATAAACCAATACAAAGATGAACATCACTTATTTGCTATTAAGTACTTTTTTATCAAGTTTATAATACTCTGTACATACCAGACTAACAGCCTCTGGTGGAACAAACATGGACAAKGCTTCTTGTACTAAACCATGTAAACATCTATTACTGTGATAAGCTTCTTTGCCACCTTTGAGCAGTAAACCRTTCCCAGTGCTGATAGCAAGTGATGCAACCTGAATGAACAATCAAATAAGTAACAAGAAGAACAGCAGAATATATGCAGCAATATGTCTTATTTTAAGAGAAGTATGGCCTGGAATGGATTTGTTGCTTCAAGCAATATAAACTTTAGATTTTTGGCTAGTGTGTTATAAAATATTCTCTGAACTAACACAAAACAATGTCAGGAAGCAAACTGATTGTCCATTAAAAAAGAGATGATTCACAACACAGAACTTAAATACAGCTCGCTCGAGAGCAAATCAAAGCACAAGGGAATAATATTATACAATATATTAGTCCTAGCATACGTAGCACCTGAACATAGTTTTTTTCAAGAAAATTAGGACTTCATTGATTGGTACATTCCCACGGGAAGTTCCCTTCCGCTTCTCCTTCCCATTCCTTCTCGGCCCTCCAGCAGGAACACCTGCTAGCAGGCTATACATTTCCCTGCTAGCAGAGGCTTACATGGTAAATTCTGTCACAGAATTTACCGTGTAAGCCTCTGCTAGCAGGGAAGCTATACATTTTCTTAAAAAGAGGTTTAAATTCACATTTTAAGAAGGAAAGTTAGCTACCTGTGGTAAAGCGTCAGGTCTTGATTCAAAAATCACCAATAAAACACCAATAGGCACGGTCTCCTGTGATAACTCCAAACCTTCTGCTATTTTTGTTCTTTTAAGCACTCTACCCAGATTCTCATGGGATGAATTGGCTATTTGCTTCAGGCCTTTAGCTAGAGATTCTAGCTTGTTTGGTGTAAGMAGAAGTCGTGATATTAACGGAGCAGGGAGTTTACCCTGTGCACGTGCTGCATCAAGATCCAGTGTGTTAGCATCTAAGATTTCAGTCTTGCGTTCTAATAGAAGATCTGCTAGCCGGTAAATAATCTGACTTCTCTGTGAAAATACAGATTAAGATTCTCTATATTAAGATTTTTACAAAGCAAAGTGTTTCTTGAAATATGATTATCGTTGTAAAGATTACTAGAGGAATTGTAAAACTGGCTGTCAGAAGTATTAGAACTTACTTGCTCAGGTGTCAAACTCTGCAAAGCTCGTCCTCCTTGTCTTGCTAGGAATTAAGAAGCAAAATATGTTTATAGTAGAATTCCAATGGGAAGTGCACAAAGGGAAGACCAAGAAAAAACAGGGAGAACAACTTATAATGGAAAAACAAATCAAGTATGAAAAGATGGGATGGAAAGACTGCTAAGAAGCTCAAAAGATTGTAGTGGATGCAGAAAATGCCAGGATGCTTTTAGGACACAGGGCTATATCTGATTTTCTTCAAACTTGAAACCAACCTTTAGATGCCTGGTCTTCAACAGATGGTCCAACTTGTTCTGCTAACGTGAAGAATGTCCCAATATTACGACCATTGATGATATCTCGTATGATATGGTAATCCTCTCCAGTTCCATTGGCTATCACAACCGATGTGCCTCTTTCCAAAGCCCAGACTGATGACCTCACTTTAGATTCCATGCCTCCACGGCCAACCCTGGACTTGGTACCAAACTGTACATCTTTGAAGTTATCTGGATGGAATGTGTGAATAAGAACTGATTCTGGCTTGTCTGGGGGTCCTGTGTAGATACCATTGACATCTGATAATAGTATCATGAGATCAGCTTTAAGTTCAACAGCAAGCAAAGCAGCAAGGCTGTCGTTGTCCTTTAGACTGATGACCTAGAAGGAAGAATGTGAACTGGTCTTTTAATTTCAGAACACAAAATGTTGGCAACCATGCTGGCAGTATAAACAGCAGTCATCATAAAGGTCAATAGAGTGATAGTTATTTTTGGTTCATGTCTTGCAATCCTTTGGCAAAACATGGCTGTAAATTATTCAAAACTTGAACTGTCTTAACTTTTTTAATTCCTAGCTACAGCATTACTGGCTATTGAAATTACCTGCTGTGATACCTTTTTGCAAATAAATTAGTTGTACATAAAAGAAACTATAATAATAAAGATCATGATGAAATACTTGACAACATTTCAGTGTCATCATGGCACCATTGTCAGATCAACTGACAAATGAAGTTAAACTTGATTACTAATATTCAAATATTGACGTTTTAGATTCAAGTTCAACTTTATTTATCAATCAATGTGATGATGTTGACAACGACAGGATAGCACCCAATAAATTATCAACAACTATTTTATCACAAATGAAATGGAAAATGATTCAAATTAGGAGGGAGATATGCACTCAGTATTCGGGCTACTAAACTGAGTGCTGTTACAATTTAATTGATGTTTATTGTATGTATGGGCGAATGTTTGCTATTATTAYATATAGTGCTTAGCTTAGCGCCTGGTATTGTGATCTGTAGCTTGTATACATTCATTATTACAGAGCAGTTTAATATCCTCACCGGTGAAGTCCTCATCTGTTGGGAAAAATGTGAGATGAAGATTCTATAAGTTCAGTATTAATAAAAGTCAYATTGATGGGCATTACTTTGTGTTATTTAGTCATTAGTATTGCAAAAAAGTATCACARTTTTAAAGCACTAACTAGCAATGTAGTTTTTTGTCAACTAATTTGGCACTTAATGATGATTTCTTTTTTATTTACATCACTGTAATTAGCCTTATTTTGCAAAATTGCAATAGACAGTTATGCTGTAGCTAATGAAGTGTTAGAATTAGCTAGCCTTTTGACTACTAGCTTGAAAACCAACATGTCAACTAGCTTGTTGACTATACTAGTGAGAAGGCTTCCTAAAAGAGGTTGTATAATATGATAAACCACCTACCCCTGCTAGGTCTTGATCCATTCCGGGAGGAGGGGCCACAACATCATTTTCATTGATGATTGGCACACAGTTCATAGCCACTAGTTCTTCCACTGTTGTTCGAAGATTCTCTCGGAGCTGTGCATCTCTCATATCAGGCTTGGTAAGTAGAATCTGAACAAGAAACAAAGCAGACGGTCGAATCAGAGTCAAACAATTGGAAGGGATGGCAGAAAGGAGAGAATAAGAAGAAGATATGGCAAAATGAAAGAATGAAGTGGAAAAATGAAATAAGAAGGCTGAATCAAGCAATTGAATAAAAAATGGGAAAGAAAATGGTTGGGAAGAATAAATGAGAAGAAGAAGAGAGAATATGTATTACCTGTCCACAAGTGAGTCCATACTGGGAGAACATTGCCTCATATAACGATAACAGACCTCCTTGACCAACRGCAGCACAAGCTCTTGGTTCAATAAATGGATTGATCTTGTGGTAATAAATATACATTATATCAAATGACCTGTTTGATATCTATCAGCCAATCAGCCTGGATTAACTTAAAGCTGATATACTAACATCCTGATAAAATAAGGGTTATAGATTCCTTCATATTCATTGCAAGTATCCTGGTGTGAGGTTGTATTGGAAATAGCTGCAAGAGTGGCAATGTATTGAATTACCTTAACTAAATCTGTTGCTTTCAGAGTCTGTCTTACACTTTGTGATAAYTTTATTTCATGYCGTAACTTTTGTTTACCAAATGCGACTGCTCCACTTGTTACTAGCAGCATTTCACGTCCTGCATTCTGCAGCTCAGCAAGCTAAATGTATTAAAGTATTATTAATCGAAGTGATTATGATGAATYAATATAAGTCTTAAGCTTAAACGTGTACCACTTGCTCATCCATGTGGAAAAGTTTCACAAACCTGTTCAACAATGGACGAAATTCTTCCCAAAGCTACTCCACATTCATCGTCTCGTGTAATCACAGCAGATCCAAGCTTTACTATAACTCTTTTAGCTTTCTTTTTGAGCTCTGATCGATGATTCACACCGGAGTATAAAGACAGCAGTGCTGCCKGGCAAAAACGAGTTTGTCTCGCAAGATTTCGTGTGAGAAGCTTCGAGTGAAGCCCGTTGGTCAACATTGTTATATAGTCATTTAAAGGATTATTATTTTTCTAAATCAAAGATCAAAATAATGAAAAATATGGAGAGAAGAGCATTTCAGACTACAAACACTCTCGCATGTACTACTCGACATTTGATTGGCTGGCTGATGCAATTTACGGGTTGTTGAACAGGTATCCCAAACACACAATGATTTCACGAAAAAATACATAAAATTTCTTTTATCCTTTAAAAGTAGAACTTTAACTCGATCAAAATATCCTTGGGARGAGCGCATATAGAATTTGACTGTGAAAAATCTATATTTTTTCTGTGTTTTTTTTTSTGTTGAAATTGCGGGATCCCTGTGGAATATTGTCAGCTCCGGAAACATGGTTTGGACAGTACTTGCCGCAACTAGCAGTTGCTATGTTTTTGCTATATTTTTTGTCTTTTTCTCTAATTATCAAGCAGGTGCTGTGCAAAGTAAAGCCAACGTTGTTATTTTCCTAGTTGATGATCTTGGAGTGGCTGATTTGGGATGTTTCGGGAATGATTCGCTCAAGACTCCACACATCGATAGGTTGGCCTCACAGGGTGCAAGGTTAACACATAGTTTAGCAAGTGAATCGATATGTACACCAAGTAGAGCGGCCTTTCTAACGGGGAGATATGCAGTAAGATCAGGAATGGTGCCAAGTGAGAGCTCGTTTATAAGAGTTTTCATTTTTAATGCTGTGCCTGGTGGTCTGCCGCGAAATGAAACAACTTTTGCAAAGTCACTCGAGGATGAGGGGTATTCAACAGGTACGTCGATATGGCCCCCCTCTGTTCTACTTTTACTACTAGCGATTCCTACCGAAAGTGAAATGCTGCGATACGCATAGTTAGTAACACTCTTCGAAATTTAGATGTATTTGATTTTATGGAGAGAAGTTCTTACTACTCTTCATTTTTATTACATTTTTTTATTTTTTATTTATTTATTTTTCATTTATTTTATTTTTTATTTTTGTCTTTTGTTTTTGCTCAGTTAAACAGTTATGCTTATACTGTTACATTTGTAACCTTCAGATTGTCATAAGTAACAACTAATGTGTCGAGTTCCAGTAATGCATTCTTTACTTGTTCATCATCATTAGTTGTCTGCGGAATGTTAATGCCCTCTACATTGATGTTATTGTAAATCAAAGAATGTTAATGGCATTTCCATTTGTTCTTGATTTACCACTTTTATTTTAGCATAAAGGACCTCTGGCATCTAATGTTTTATTCATTGTGGCATGACAATGTTGACACTCTACTATATATCACCAAGTAAAGCGTGACCTGCTAGATCCGTGAATTAATAGAGCCGACGCACAAGATCCCTGAATCATAAGCACAATAGCACTAAATTATGCTAATTTCTTTGTTCCTTTTATTTAATTAGAATAAGACTATTATAAGTTAGTAGAGAACTATAGTATTACTGCCAAAATCGTTGCATCGCGACCACCAATGCAAACTTTGTTGGTTTTTTGGTTTTTCTGATCAGCCAATCACAGCTCGGGGATTGGTGACTAATTTGTTCAACTCTCGTGGATGAAGGCCTTACTTGATCCTTCCTTTAATGTGAATACATTATTATGCATTTCATCAGCAATAACTTTATATGTATTTATAATAATTATTAAAAATATTTATCATCTTCAGCTTTAATAGGAAAATGGCACTTGGGACTGAACAAAGAATTCAACAATGATTTTTACCATCATCCTCTCAAATTTGGTTTTCAGTCCTTCTAYGGWATTCCCTTAACAAACATACGTGACTGTGATGGGAATGGCACRGTATTTGGTCATTTTATGTCAAGGAAATCAAGAGTACAATTCACTGGAACTATTCTCATCACAGCACTAATGGCAATCATGGCAGTGTTGATGGGAAAAATGAGAAAATGTTATTTTGTTTTCTTCATGATTGTCTTAGTTGTACCAGCATGTTGCCTTYTGTTCCTTGGCCAATTTAATCAAATAATGAACTGCATTTTGATGAAGAATTACACGATAGTGGAACAACCAATCATTTTGGAAAACTTAACAGCCAAATTTACTAATGAAGCTGTTGAATACATTGAAAGAAACCAAGCAAAGCCATTTCTTCTACTTATGTCCTACTTCAAAGTCCACACAGCATTATTTACAACCAAGAAATTCAAAGGTCATAGTGGTCACAGTCGCTATGGTGATAATGTAGAAGAGTTGGATTGGAGTGTAGGTCAGATAGTGGGAACCTTAGACAAGCTTGGAATAAGAAATAACACGTTTATATACTTTACATCTGATAATGGCCCACATTTAGAGGAATTCTATAATGATGAATATCAAGGGGGATGGAAAGGCATGTTCAAAGGAGGTAGGTTGGAAATTGGTGCATTCTGGTACTGATCAGATCCTCCTCACTCCCAATACACCTTTTCAGTTGCTCTTAGGCCCCGACAACATGTTTTAAAAATATTCTTTTGAATTTGTAGGAATGTGAGCAATGCACACATTGATATGAATAGTCTCATTTGTCAAATTCAAAAGAATAATTAACTTGCTATTGAGGCCTAAGAGCAACTGAAAAGGTTGCAGGAGCACTAKAATTCGTGTCTTCCCGCCATTGCAAAATATGCATATATTCAAGATGTATTGGAGGCTTGGCAAACCGTATAAACCTGTACCAAGTGTCAGGATTCGTAATAAGAAGATTCAGATTTGTAATAAGAAGATTCTTGGTACAAGGGTGAAACTGGAGTGAGTACAGAAAATGAATCATTTCTTAACCAGTTAACACATTTCCAATTTTTCACCAGGTAAATCTCAGAGTTGGGAAGGTGGTATCAGAGTACCATCTATTGCTTCCTGGCCATCTCAAATTCCATTTGGTATCAACATTACAGAACCTAGCATTGATCTCAACATTTTTGCCACAGTCCTAAAAATCGCGSGTGCTTCAATTCCAGATGATCGTGTCATTGACAGCAAAGACATAATGCCRCTACTTAAACAAGAAGTCATGTACACACCAAATGAGTTCATGTTCCACTATTGTGCAAARGCAGTGCATGCCGTTAGGTACAGGCCCCGACATGGTTCAACTGTCTGGAAATTACACTTTATAACACCCATATGGGAAAATGGTACTCAAACATGTCCAACAATCGCAGTTTGTGAATGCTATGGTAAAAATGTAAACAAACATGATCCTCCCTTGCTCTATGATATRACTAATGACCCAAGAGAGGAGTTCCCTATTGATCCTAGTGAGCCTCAGTATAAAGCTGTTGTAAGTAAGATTAGTATTGCTGTACAAGAGCATCAAGCTAAAGTGGAAGCAGTTCCTCTTCAACTTGAAAASTACATATGGCGTCCTTGGCTACAGCCTTGCTGTAACTTCCCTTATTGCAAGTGCACTGAAAATGTAGCTAACTTAAGAATTCATCCATAAGAGAATTGTCATTATTAGAGAAATGTTTAAGATTACATTAAATAAAATGCACTATGGAGTTTTAAAATATTTTAATTGATTTTAACAAAAAGTTTTGGCTCTGAAAAAAAAAACAACATGAATCTAGTTTTTGGTAAAAATGCGTGGAAGAAATACAATTTCATTTTCAACTGTTTTTTTTCTCTCAAGCTATAAATTGACATAATTATATTGTATGGTCATGCCTATATATTTGTCTGGCAGTGCTTGAGTTCACATGTATTTAACTTTATTGCCAATCCGTGTAATGTATTAGACTATTAGGTGATTTTTGTACAACAAGGATCYAACATGTGCACCAATTACATGTAAAAATGAATATGGAGCACCTAGACCTCATAACAGAAAAAAACTTCATTTTAATGAATTTAGTACTCTCTGTGTTTATTCTTAATGGACAACTAAGAGTGTATTTCAGTGACAATAATTTAAAAAAGTAATCATTTGTATGACATGCAATGGTTGTAATGATTTCAACATTGTGAGAACCATTTGTTTAAAAATGCCTTTATCTGGGCCTATTTATAAAGATTACAGTAGATAGAGATATTCACTGCATCAATTTAAATTTGTTCTTAACTCTTACACTGTATAAATGTATGCATATTACCTACTAGATAAGTTAGCTTAAACAATAGCAATTACATGATCCTATTTGGCCCTTAGTTAAGTTTGTTGTTGAGTTTTTGTACAAATGAAATGGAAATGCACTGAATAGTGACTGCATCATTTCATTATTTATGTGTAGTAGTAATAGTAATAATAATGCCTGTCTTTTTGAATATAGGAGACAGCTGATGACTCTGTGTTCCCTTTCAAAATGCTCTCTCCAGAAATCAATAACTGTTATCCCACAACTGACTTACATGTACTTTGTGCAAAGTATTTATTAAACTAGTATAAACTCCCCATAGATTTTACTGAGAGCAATGCTGAAGACACTCTCATTTCTGTAAATTATAACTTTCATCATCAAACAGTTTGTTTTCATCACTAGTAAATGAAATCTATTGGGGTTTATACATCAAAATAACAGCTAACTAAATACACAAATCCATCTACACAAGYTTCTTTGCTTCAAAGAATCCTTTAAGATGTCTCATTTGCCAGAATCCTGTAGCAAGAAGAATAAAGGTCTGTGCCATGGCCCACCACAATACCCTCTGATTGGTACTTTCACTTGTTTGACGGAAACGCTCCTCCCGAAACTACAAATAACAGTTGGAAATGATTAAAGCTACAGACAAAACATAGAAAAGGTTTTCAGTAAATACACTTACCCTTTGGTAGTTTTGTTCTTTGCTAATCTGCTCTACTTGATCTAAAAGTTGTCTGATTCTCAGCTGTAGTTCAGTTAATTTGTCCTTGGCTGCTATTTGTGYGTAGTCGTTAGCATGTTCTCCAACTTGTATATCCAGATGGATACGCTATAAGAAAATGGTCAATTACTTAGCGAAAATACTTTCAATTAAATGATCTKCAAATATACTTGAAAGTTGAAGACCCTCAGGTGTTGCATTAAATTTAGGAGTACATAGGTGGCTGTTTTGAAAAAGTAATGGTATATAAGCATTTTAAACTTAATTTGGCAAAAATAGCCAGCCCAAAGGTCAGCTTCTAATGAAAACCCTGGACCCTTAGGACTGGGCAATTTTGAGTGTTGCAGATAAATGACAATGCAGAACGTAGCTCCACCTGGGAGACTGAACCATTGGTTCGAGATGCAATGAGAGCAATGATATTGTTTTTCCCCTGATGAAGTAACATTAAGAAACCTACCAGTCTTCCACCAGCCCAGAGGGACCAGCGAGTAGAGTTTGAATGTAGACAGATAACATGTTCACCAGGTGCATGSGAAGTAAAAGTGAATCTTCCTTCCGACGAATAATACTTGGAGAGTACAACCTTTTGATTTGGGTCTTTGACTTCTACATGCATACCAATACCAGGACTGGATGGCAGGAATGCATTGGTGTTTTCATCAAATAATTGAGTTTTATATTTTCCTGGAAATGAAATAAACTCTTTAGTTTGAGAGATACTTTGTGGAATCCTTTATGGCTCAAGCAATGTGTGATGCTAGGCYATGGAACCTTATAATGTCTGTCATAGGGCCTTAATAATGTACAAAAGCAATCCTCTTCACAGCTCCCTGTGTCATCTTGAAAGCCAAACTTTGTTATGCCTTTGCATTGAACAGGATAATCAAGGAGCAGTGATAGATGCTTATAACAAATAAAAAATGTCCTTGCTTCATAAAGGCATTGCAAGTTTATTGATTGCCTTGCTTGCTTGACAATGCAGTGATCTATTAAGTTAAGGYAACTATTGTCCAGATCTTTAAAATGTTTTGATTGAAGTTTGATGTCAGCTTTTGGTAAAATGACAAACAATACATTTACAAACAAGTTCTCTGATAAAAGAAGGCACTTTGCTTGTATTTGTTGCGGTAATGCTTACTGCAAACTCAAACAAAACGCTGCATATGCCGGTAGTATCGATCATTTATCTAAACTTACTTAAAATAAATTTAACCTACTACAATAAAACGGCACAGAATCGATGTATCCTTTACGAAATCCTCACACTTTTTCATTTCCTAAAAAACATGGATCAATGCAAAACAATTGAGCTCACCTATAACCATSGTTTCGTCTGGGATTTCTTCAATAAAACACTTTTTCTCTGTTTCTCCCATGTGAAAATATAATCCATATGTACAACTAAATACACAGCCCATTAGGGCTACAGCTAGTAACGTTTTCATATTTTGTTTTKAAAGAATAATACAGTGAAAACGGAAAGTATAAAACTCCAAAAGGACACGACGACAAATTATGCGCATGCGCTTTGTTGGAAACCGGCTTCTGCCACGTCTACCACGTTTTATCCCGAAGCTGTCCGAGAGGCTTCGTAGAGTGTTCGTAGAATATCCGTAAAATGTTCGGCGAAATTTTGCTGATATTTCACTCCAGGGACTGKGAAGCTGTTCAAATTGCTCAAAAAGCTGGCTAAATAACTTGAAATTCCAGTGTTATTTGCTTCAGTTATCATTTGAAATATGTACTTTGTTTTGAAGAAAGCACTCTGTGTTCCACCGCAGTTTCCGATGTGAAATCTACAAGAAATCGACATTTCTTTGCTCCTTTGCACAATCATGACTGAACCGCCTTCAAAAAGGCTTAAAATAACTGATAAMAGGGCTCCAACAGCTTCAATTTCCTCAGATTTCTTCCATGGGATGAAGGKTGTTATTGTAGAAAATGGACTAGGTAAAACAAGAGTTGGAATTCTTGGACAGAAATTTATCAAACATGGAGGCCATGTTCAAAACAAACTTGATAAAAATACTACTCATGTTTTTGTGGCCCCAACTGTTAGATTTGAAAGAATACCAAAACTTTTAGGCCTCGCAGAAAAGTCATTGCCAGAGAAATTAGTAATTGTAAAGGCAGACTGGATAAGTATGTGCCTTCTTGAAAATCAGCAAGTAAATATTCAAAAATACACTTTATCTTGTCCTGCATCTCATAAAAAGCTGGAAGATCAAGGTATAGATGGTAAAGATGAAGGTACAAGTTTGATAAAYGTTACAGAAACAGAATCAACCAGTGAAGTAAAAAACGTTGCAGTAACGTCCATTGTAGAAGATCAAGATAGTGATTTTTCAGACAGTGGAGATGAAGGTGAGAGTACTAAAGAAATCAAAAGCAAATGCTCCCCAGAGAAGACCAAAGGTACATGGATCTGTGCTTTGTCTTCAACATCAAAAGGAATCAATCATAATCAACACATAACAGACAAGCTTCAGGTCCTTGCAACCTCTTATGCCAACACYAAAGATCAGTGGAGAGCTTTAGGTTATAAGAAGGCAATATCATCAATAAAGGCATATCATAAACCCATTGAAACTTGGGAAGAGTGTAGCAAGCTTCCTTTTGTAGGAGAAAAGCTTGCAAAAAAGATCTGGGAGATAGTAGAAACTGGTCACCTACGACGACTGGACCATATGGATCCCAAACTTGAAGCRATTAACCTTTTCACAGACGTATGGGGTGCAGGACCAACAACAGCAGARGTTTGGGCTTCTAAAGGGTTCAGAACATTGGATGATCTTGAGAAGAATGCTAACTTAACATCGCAACAAAARATTGGCTTGAAATACTTCAGTGAGTTYCGTGAAAGGATGCCTCGTGAAGAAGCTGGGAAAATCGGTGAAGAAGTTTGTGTTGCAGTAAAAGAGGTTAATCCTGGTCTTGTATGTGAGACTTGTGGATCATACCGCCGTGGAAAACCAACATGTGGCGATGTTGATGTCTTGGTTTCGCATCCGGATGGAAGATCCCACAAAGGTGTCTTACCTGATATCATTTCCAAGCTAAAATCCAAAGGTTTTATTACAGATGACTTGGTGTCTGTTCATCCTGAGCAGAATAAATACATGGGTGTTTGTAAGCTTKCAGGCGACAACAATAAACACAGACGGTTAGATATTATAGTCAAGCCATACAGTGAATATGCTTGCGCAATCATGTATTTCACAGGATCAGACTATTTTAACAGGTCTATGCGGCTTCTAGCTAAAAAGAATGGCATGTCTCTGTCTGAGCACTCTCTTAACACYGGTGTTGTGAGGCATGGTGGGGAGAAAGTGTTTGAAGGGACGCCTTTGCCTGTTAATAGTGAGCAAGATATTTTTAAGTATTTRGGRTTAAGCTACAGAACACCTGAAGAGAGGGATTGGTAAAATTCACTTCTTTCCTGGACACTAAATTCCTGGTTCACCATGAACCATGYATGATATGATATATATGTAAATAATTTTTTTACTGTTCACTCATTAACATCAATTAAAARTAAATGAATATTAGAGAAAATAACAAAATGTAACGTAGCAGAATTTTTTAATCATYAAAAACAAATTGTAAACCCTATAGAAAAAGGGTTAAGAATGTCAAAAATTAAACATTAAATCATGACATTGGTTGTAGTGTAGTTGATTAGAACTTATAGTTTTAATCTGTGTAAATTTTATTCCTTTTCTACAATGAATACTGTATAGTTTGACAAGTATTCATGGTTTATTGGGAAGCATTATCATTTTATTATTGTTTTTGCTATCTACATGTACATGTATCATAGTATTACTAATCTACATAGTAGGTTGTGACATGTATTTTCTACTTGTGGTCCTGTTTGTAGATACAATTTTCATTCATAATCAATAATTGTCTTCCAATTTGATCTGAAAAAACATTGATCATTGTTATGTTATTCTTCTGATGCACAATTATGCAATGATCCCAATCACAGTTGCTGTTGATCCCAATCCCAGAGTTTTAAAGTCCTCAAAATAAATAGTGATTCCTGATTCCTTATATCATGTCACGACCCTGATATGGGTGTGTCCTGTACGCCTTGTTTTTTGACAAAGTACCTCTCGTCTCTTTATTCTATCATAAAACATTTATACCCTGAATCAATACACTCCCATGAGTCTCTAGTATTTATTTGGATTTATTTCTTCAATATCTTTTCTCTCTAATCCTTACAAATCTATTATGAGGGCAGTTTTAAGGGCACGAGGTAGGCAAGGAATTCAATGGGGTTTAGCACCTACCAATCTTCACTTTGGCAGTGTATAGAGAGTTAATTTTAATAACATACTAAGGAATTACTACTGAATCTTTTTCTGTTTTTATCATAGGTACCCTAGTCCTAAGCAGTATTTTATCCTAGACGTCGTAAGGTCACTAAGAAGGACGGAGAATTATTCAAAAAACCAAAAAGGGCGTGCAGATACTCCAACAATCCATCGATGAAAGTCCGCAGGAGACTCCTAGAAAACGTGAGTTTTGTCMAGTTATACTTAAAATAAATTCTTATTGTTTTATAACGACATTCAGATGCATTTTCGTACGCAAAGAGGATGAATTAACCGCCCAACAGTATCGCTAACTCAACATGCCACTTACATGTTCAGCTGTTTGATATCTCTCCGGCAATCCAGTGCTTAAAACGGCTTCTTGAAACCGGCTTAGGCCATGTCTCTATATCCTAGACCTACACAATAGGCTACCAAAACAATAATGCATCATGCTAATAATATTACCCGTGATTATAATTAATAATTTTAATTTTAGTACTTAAAAGTCCTGATGAGCTCTTTAGTGATTTTTTCCGAATAAAAACACCAAGTTATCTTTTCATTTTTCCCAGTGCTATTTCACTTTCCCTTGGAGTTTATTCAAGGGTAGGTCGGTGAGAATAGTTGTACTGTGCTGTGATTGAATTAGATTCATTAGTTATATTATAAATGCTGTTAGTCTAAACGACGCATCTCACTCCAGCATCCTCAGACTACAAAGAAGCACCCGGAAGTTTAAGTAAAGGGTGTGTCGAGAAAGGAATTCATTTGATGCGAATGGGAGGATCTCCCTATGCTATAACTATAATAAAAGAAGAAGATAAGCCTCTCTGCTAAGTTCGACAAACTGTCTCCCATTTTCAAATCAGGGAATCCAGAAAGTTTACAATTCAGCTTCAATACACCTTGAAAGCTAGCACATCTCTGGGGTTTTACACTGGCCAGATAGAGATACAGTGTACGAAAAAAGCATATTTGTGCCTTTCAAACACGTCAAGTTTTTTTTTTTTTTTGATCACTTTGGATATAAAACAATAAGTGTTTTACAAAACCATGTGAACTTAGACAATAAAAACAACTGTGTGGCAAAGTGAAGTAAGGACGAAAATCTTGGAAAGGTGTGAAGTGAAATTTCTAATGAGAATAAATGCAATTATATTCGGGACAAGCACGTACACTACATGTAAATGCACGGTGTGATAACTAAAAATAGACTAAAACTACAGAAATATCCGAGTAAACCTTGCGATTTCTTCTGATAACTTTTATATAAAGTAAGGAAAGGATGCCACAACTTACCATTGAAAACCTTCTCTGTATTAAAAACAGTAATAAAACTCTGCATTGACCGAATCCTCGAATCCTTAGGTGTACAAAAATAGCACTACAAAATGAGTCATTCAACTTAACAAGACAAGAAAGCGACAGTGCAAGCTACAGGCGGTAATAGTAAAAACATTAACTTTAAGTGCGTCGTTGAATGCACGGTGTCAGTTTCCCTCGCCGCTAGCCACCAAAAGAAAAGAAAATCTTTTCCAGAAGCCTGAAAATTATTTGAATAAGTTTTGATTTAGTGTGATGGATGTCATTGCTGGGAAATTCTCATTTGCCACCTGCTCATTTGGGCTGTACGTAGTTTCGCCAACTTTCTCTGGACAATAGAAGAGAAACACTATAGCCTGGCGATGCCTTAATCAACGGCAGCTGCTAATGAAAACAAAGGACAAACAGATAACCGCTGCCATGAGATCGTTTTCTAGCAGTTCAGTATTTAATGACAATTATTCTGTAATCCTCAAATTTACCAAGTGTTCTTTTTCTGCTATTTTTGGCCACTTGTTAAAACTAATAGCTGTCTTGCTCATAACTGGAACTGTAGRAAAACCGCTATTCCAGAAGTACTCTTCCAATTTAAAGGCTTTTTTTTTTGTTTTCTTGGTTGCCACTTGGAAGGTTTTGACCTCAAGGAACTAGCTCGATTCACACAAGCAATGAAATGTATCTACTTTTAAGTGATTTTGAGAGACTAAAACCGAATCAATCGAGCCAATATCCTTGTCATAGAAATAAGACAGAAGAAACAGCGTCCCTAATAAAGTAAAATCTGAATGGCTGGCGTTTCATAGCGATGTAGTAAATGAAGTAATCTGCGCAATGCCGTCGCTATGTACCGGAGAACATTAATGGTGTTGTGTCGTAAAACCGTCCAAAACGAAGTATAAAATGTATATTAAAATCTGTTTTGCGTATATCAAATTAGATTATTAGCAAATTATTTGAGTACCTCGAACTCTCCTTAATTCTTTCACTGGGGGATTATGACTTTATGGCTTTTCCTTGAGGATTTTTGTCGCAATTCTTAGTTTAYATTTTACATAATAAACGTTTTGATCTTTTTTAAATTTGCGCTGTGCAATCATCATTGTCAATATAGTTCCGTGACCGCACGGAAGAAAATACGTCTCCTTGTTTTATTTCATCCAGAGCTAGTTCAACGAAAGCTTTTCATTTCAGTCCCACCTGTAAAGTTTTACGAAATGCAAAAAAGGAGAAATTCAAGCAAATGAAAACAACCTATTTGCTAAAGGCTTAGTTCGGCGATCAACATCCTTTGACGGAGCGCACAATATAGTGTCACCGCACAGCCTGATTTCATGCTTTGATTGGCGCAGTACATTGCACCGTAGGAGACCCAAGAGYCTTTAAAAGCGCTAGGATAAATCTTGTTTTCCAGTATTACCTATTGAACTAATAATACTGATACTGCGAGCAAGACGGAAAAATATTCATTTTCACTGCGCGTGGTCTTTAGATGGTCATAACAAAATCTTAAATTATCATAACATTTTAAAACCCAATTTTGGACACTTTAAAAGGTAGAAARCATTTATTAAAAGCGTTTAGTACTTGTCTTGCATGAGTTAGATGTAAAATCTAAGATGATAACGTTGCATGTAAAATTTCACTTCCATCGTTCACTTGTCACTAGAGACGTTTTATTGTTGTTCATCGGAGTTATCCTAAAACCACAAGACTTGTTAACGTAATTTACGTAATAATCTACCTAACCGCAACATTGATAAATAACTACAAGAAAACGAAATCGTTGTTTGCTATTGATTTATTGAAAGAAGCAAATCTTTCTTAGCATTCGACTTGATCAATTTTAAGGAGTGGACGGAGAATTCCGGGTTTTGATGTAGGTGGAGTTTTGCCGGTTGCCGTTATCATTMCTTCTTGAATTAAACTTATCCTTTGATTATTGTAGTTGAAACTGTCTTTGACATTAACATAGCTTCTTTATCTTGAACTACTAGCATAAGGTGTAAAAAATCARTCTAAGCAAACAAATACATCAATACCGTCCCAGGTTTGTTACTGACACAACGATACAACTTTTCTAAAATACTKCCTTMAAATGGGACGAAAAGTCTCAAAAAATCCCCTTACTAGACCACGTTTGTTCATATTGTCCTTGAATTCCTAATTTCAAAAGTTCATAACAATTTCGGACTATTAAWCTTTCATTTTATGGGTTAAGRTTTGAGGTAAACAATAGCTGTCTCGACAGCACTTGGCAGGCCTATAGTTAACTATAGTGTGCCATAGTTTTGGACATTTTCCAATCGCATACTCTCAAAATGAGACTGAATAGTTGACACTTGTAAATAACGGATACACCGGCCTCAAGTACGAAGATGAGGAATTCTWGACAAATTGCTCCTTTTATGGCGGACTTCTCGATCTTTCAATTTGTGCGTCAAAACTTAAAGATCTGTAATCATTTTACCAGAACCCCTCTGCTATCGTTTGCTGCACCCGACCGAATGTAACTGGCGCTGGTTTTTTATATTTTACTTAACCAGACCGCTTTCTCAGCAATAAATTCTATAMCTATGTTTGAAAGATTTAAAAACTCTATAGACTCATTATATAACGATAAAACTGTCCTAAATTCTCACTTGCTGTATTTTTTATTTAGTAATTTTTCGCTGTACTGTCAACTAGTTCTTGGAGATTCATTCAGATATCGGTTTTTTTTGTGTGTGTGTGTGTGTGTGGTACTTTTGCTATCTTCTAACTATTAAACATGTGGCTTTTGTAGCCAACGATGATGTGCGCCGTGAAATCCAGGTTCTTTTACTTGCCCCGGGATATGTATAGTATCGCACATTTCATCGTAGAGCTAATAAAGAAATCACTTTGCTCGTAAACATGAGGAAAATCACTGCTACACGTGCAACTAGAGAGACATGCACAGACCAAAACAATTAGAACCGCTATTTCAATGTAAAATTCAGACGAGAGTTAAACTTGATTGTCAATGGACTGTCCCAGTTTTTTGTCTACAAAAACATCAAGGTCTCCACGAGTATTTAAGTGAGTCATTTATAGTTCTATTTTCAACAATTAACTTCTTTTGAAAGAGGTGTTTTGTGCTYACAATAAAAAATTCGGAGGATCAAACTGAGAAAATCTTAAGAAATTATTTTGTGCAAACAAATCACTTGTCWGGGGGAAAGTTTACATTAATTGTAAAACCCGTAATTTCGATAAAAATATCTAATAAAGTGTATTAAATGTTTTCTAAAACTGCAGGTTCAGAAGTTTACAATATAAAGATTGAATTAAGTTTTTCTCTGATTCTACATTTTATTATAGTGTAAGTGTTTTTATGAATGTTACCAAATTTTGCTTTCTTGATTTTCAATTGCAGTTGACTGGTCGCCATGTTTCTTCTTCGTTTTCAATCTTTGTCAGTCCTCTTCCAGGCTCMTTCTTTTTCATTAAGTCTTAATATCTTGTTATTCTTTGTCAATTCCACGCCTCCATCCATAACTTGTTTTTCGTCTTAAATTCACTTATCTTCCTAAACAAGAGTGGAGAATGATATCATTGCAGTCAGTTTCCTGTTTCCCTACTCAATGACAACAAGACGAATAACTGCGTCTTATTCATTTATAAGCAAACACTTCGTTGCTTTTGAAAGCCACAGCCAAGCAGGCAGTTTATACTAGAAACGGTTTATGGAAAGTTTCAAGCCATTGGSATAGGRYAGAAAGAGTAACAATTATGCCTGGCTTTAGTGACTATGCATGAAGTTGTGGGTATAATATCCCATCAAAGTATTCAAGCCCCGGAATACAACACTTTTATTGRATCTTTTTATTGCTTTTAGTCAATAGACAAAATATTTCTTGAGTTGAATAGTAGAATCACTTTCATAAGGTTGTAATAAATTGGACGCCAAAAAAGGCCATATCATGGCTGCTATCTCATTACGTGTACATTTCAACTTCTTCTTACGAACCATTGTAGATGATAAAAAAAAAACCGGATTTGTAAACCCCAGCACACCAAATTGACCACAGATAAAATAGTCACATAGAGTTTAATACAAATCATACTCTTTATAAAACCATTGGGTATAATAGTTTGCTAGAACAATGCGGACACTCTGGCACCGTGTAAAAGGTTGCTTGGGCTGTCGCTTTGGAGTCCAAGAAGGCTGGGACAGCTGATGGTAACCGAACACCATGATAGCTACATATTAGTATGCCCAGGTGAACATCCACTTCTTGCTCATTTGGCACTGTTAAAACAACAGGCCTTTTCGGCAATTATGTATAATACAGTCTTAAGCATTGAGTTAATGAACTCGCCTTTGACACAAGAAAAGACCCTTGGAACGGACTTGTTACATCTCACTGGCGTAGCTAATATGTTTCCAATACTCGGTAAATAAAAACTAACGTTTTACCTATGTATCTTTACTTCAAGAATTTGATCTTCAAACTAGTTTTGTTAAAAGTATTGAAATTTACTGTGTTTGTTTACGTTTTAAAACTTAATTTAAATCATAGCGGAGTTCTTGTGGATTGTGGATGACTTTGCAGGCCCCACGCAGATTCTGGCTCACTATACGGGTTTGCTGAAACCATTATAATCGCCACACAGCGCACCAAAAATACTCAATTTTTACAGCATTGAAAATTTGGCTTCGTGAGCAATTGATATCCAGCCAAATGTTGCTCTTTGACAAACATAGAGCCGGTTATAAAAACAAACAGCTATCAAATAAGTGTCTGGGTGTCCACGTTTCATGGCAAAAAGACTCATTGTTCGTTATTTATTTATACAAACAACTCAAGTTAGCCATTGGTGTTGAACATTAACTGCTAAAACGCTGAGAATTTACTTTCTTTTCCTTAGAAAAAACTGATTGTAGAGCTACTTAATCATAGAAAAATGATTGCAACCCTTAACTTTAGCAAAATTGGAACTTTTCAGAATTCGAAGAACACTTTTCAAGGCCTAAAGTAACAGATCATGCGGATTTACTCAAAGTTTATTTAAAAATACAACTATTGTTTGACGAACAATAGTAATTGTTCACATTAATACCATCTAAGTGAAGTGACGAGTTTATTGTTTTAATTGTTTGTTATTCCTTACGATTTCATCATGTAAAGGATACTCGCTTAAAGTAGTGTTTTCTACACGTGCATATTATAACTATCCGACCGCTCGACTTCTCACTAGAGTCATTCCATAACTACCTGACAAGTCTTGATTCATTATAGGGTGGACTCTCAGACAAGGTCTAAATAGGCGACTCAATGAGGTCCAAAAGAGCCGATCTGTATGGAAGTGCTTAGCACTCATTATCGTCTTTGTTTCACACATGCTCGACATTAATTTTCTCTCATAATGCTCATAAAAGATCAACCGAGTCCATTGTATAGGATTGACCTCATAGGTGACTATGGTGGCAATTTTACTTCAATACCCCATCCTCCCCCATCCCTCCCATCTAATACCGTATTCATAAAGGTACCTCAATATTAAGGTTGGTCTTGCCAGGGTTATTCACTGAACTGGATAAATCGAACTTTAACGTTTGTGTGCTTGTAGAGATTTGCTTTGTTGTTATTAACATTAGTTAATTAGTTGTTGTTGTTTGTGGGTCAGTGGTCGTCTCTTTGTCAGGGAGCCCTTACTAGTCTACTGAAATTATGCGTGATAAATACAATATATTGAACGACAAGGCTAGGCCCAGTAAGCAAAGCCATACAAAACATTACTTATTCATGCAACAAGTAAATTATCATATTTTCTCGACATGAAACGTTGAAAGGGTACTATTGGCTAATGGTATTCCAATCAAGATTATTAACTAATTAGCGTGTATGGCTCTTAACAACCTATATGAACGCCCTCAAACAGAGTGTTACTGTTCTCTTTGTGTGGCGTCACGTCAAATAGTCCCGAACAGGGAATACCTTTGACATGAATAAAAGACCAAACCGCTTTATCCGAACCGAATGTAAATTACTTTATAATGAATGACCAGATTGTGTTGGATGCGATAAAACGGATCATCTATAGGCGGTAGGTCTATTGACGTCCAAGGTATTTAACTCGCCCGAGTTGTGTAGAAATCTCACACTGACACACGGCTACGAACGGTGCTGTTCTCCGGCGACTGTCCATTTTGAACTCCTGTCGTCCTTATCTGAAAACGCTCGAGTGTTTCCCTGGAGAAACGAAGAACATTTAAGCTACAATACAGAAATTTATCTGCAAGATTATTTCACAAGTACTGACTGAAGTAAAGGTAAGAAATCTTTTTAAACTATTTGTAAAGTTTGTGTTTTTTTTACGCGTTTTTTTCCTTCCCTACTGGTTAACATATGATTGCCTTTTCCAATCTCGCACGCTGTTCATTTTACTGTATAAACTCTAAAAGACGATTTCAAACTTTTCTTTTTTGACAATATCTAGTTTTTATGTTGCGTTTTGATTTCTAAAAGAACGATGCTTGCCTCTTTGATCGAGGAAGTAACGGTCAACTAACAGCCYTCAAGATAAAAAAAAACATTGTGTTTGAACTACTTTTCAAAGAGAACGTGCGAGAACAATAGACATATAAAGTCGGAGTTAAGCAAGCGTATGATTGACTTATTTATTGTTTTGATGTGGTTATTTTTGATTATGAGTAAAAAAAATAACTCGCACTGCGTATGAATATATCTAGCTAAGCGTCTATAAACGATCGAACAATTCTATACCTGTTTGCGTACTTTACACCAGCCCTTGATACTTTCTGTCGAGCTGTAGCACTTTAATTCTTTTTGTCCATAAAAAACACACCATTTTACCATGGATCAATAAGTTTGTATGCGATCCATAACATAATTGTTATGTTGATGTTGTATTTGAAAAGACTTTTTTATGTTTGAACATTTTTATTCTAAGTATCAATATTTTTCTTTCTAGCATGAATTCAAATCAGTCCTCAGAATYGCAACCAAGCATCCCTCTTTCTTTGCCAATCGGCCCTGGAGTTTACCCAACGTATTCAGCCAAAGTACCTTGTAGCATGTCCTTTTGGACAAGTGACGCTTGCCCATTGAGTCTAAGTCGACCATCACAATCAAACGAAAGACCATCATTAACCTCAGAACATCTATACAGGTTAGTATGCTTTTAAAGTAATTTCGTTGCTGTAAAGGAAGAAAAATACACTTTTCATATGGAATGCTTTTCGGAATTGAAGAGGCGCTAGCTTTAAAAGTAATTTCATTGGTAAAAAAAAAGAAAAATAAACTTTATGTATTGAATACTGTCGGGATCGAAGAGCGTGAGCTTGACTCACCTAATTTCACAAGCATATTTACTATCTACTTGCACAAAAAAGTCAAAAATGCTGATATTTAACAAAAAGCTGTTTGTTTTCACAGGCCAAGTACKTCCAGCGATGGGATAAAAGAACGTGGTAACACTCCTGTCATTCCAGGGTTGAGATCTTCGGCGTTCCACGCAACATCACCGCACTTATCATACAGTCTCTTCCCTGTGAGTCAAAGTCACCATCGYTATCCAACAAGCAGTCTTGCTTTACTTCCGCGTGATCTATGTCCGACATACCCTGCAATRCCACCTGTATTCAGCAGTGGACTGCCTATAATGCCTAGAGCCTCCTTTGGTCCTCCGTTCTTGAAGACATCATCTCTCTCTAGTCGAAGGCTGTCTAGATTGTCCCAAGAATCCATGCAAGATGGACCAAAGAACTGCCATATTTGTGGTAAAACGTACGCTAGGTTGTCCACATTAAGACTACATTTGAGAACCCATAGCGGCATTAAACCATACCAGTGCATGGTATGTCTCAAATCGTTCACACAAGCTGCCAATCTCACGGCCCACTTCCGCATTCACTCAGGAGAAAAGCCGTTCAAATGCCGAATCTGCGAAAGGCAGTTTTCACAGTCTTCCTCAGTCACAACGCACATGCGAACCCATAATGGAGAACGACCTTATAAATGCAAAGTATGTTCAAAAGCTTTTGCWGATAGTTCAACGCTAACCAAACACGTAAGAACTCATACTGGAGAAAAGCCATACCAGTGTGAAATCTGCTTGCAAAGATTCTCGCAGTCGGGGAATATGAACAGACATAAAAGAATCCACAATGATATGTAAATAGATATATTTGAAGGTTATATATACTATATTCAAACAATTTGTTAATATATATTTATGAACATTTCTATATTAGAATTATTATTGTATTATTCGGAACAATTTTAAATTGTTTCCAGTGCTTGAATTATTTATTATTTGTCATATGTACATCGAAAACTCAAAATATTATGAGTGCATACAGCAGTCTTTTGACTGTGGTGCAAAGATCTCATCAAATTGTTATGATATTGTAATGATGCATTGAAAAAAAACGTTCATTGGCTACATTCATATCGTCTCTTAGCTAGCCTGAGCAGTTTATTAAAATCTAATTCAAATACTTCTTATATATAAGATTAACTATTAAGTCATTGAAAACTTTTATTGTAATTAACTACTTTATATATGATTGCATTAATTTGACTTGTATTAATTTGTGTATCGTGTATGGAGTCAGTTTGTAATAAAGCAAGTATTAAGTCAAACAAGATTCTGGCTGTAGTTAAACTTTATATTATATATCTAATATATCAATTGACTTTGGTTTCTTACTTGGATAATATATGTACTGACTTGTCAAGTTTGTTCTCGTAAAGATGAAGAGAAAAAATGCATATTACAGTTGAAGAAACTTTATCGATGATCATAGCAAGCGCGATGACAATTCTCAGCTTTTATAACCAGAAGCCTTCTTGACACTGATATTGAATGTGATTTATTATAGAAAAACTCGGCTTCGCTTCGTGTTTTCCTAAAGCTTCTCTAATATTAGATAATCTCATGAGTATAACTCAGAAACCACGCGCGAGTTTTCTTTACCAACAATAGTTCAAAGTATTTTTAGTATTTTTCTWAAGTCGCTTTAGATTAAATGTTTTTGCTCTCGCCCACACTCGTACGTGATATCCCTTGTTATAACAGTCGTTACTTTTAAATTTCCATACCACCGCTCGTGTTCCAAGGCCTGCTTATGCTCCGGTCGCGTGTTTATATCAGAAGACGGAGACACGCTCGGCAGTTTTATCAAAGTTATCATCCAAGATGGCGTTCCCATACATATTTACCAATTTTTTCAAATCTTTATTCGCTTATATCTTCATCGAAAAGTAAGCTACAGGACTAAAAGCTCGTATTCTAGATAATTTGACTATGCTCTTTATGACTTGCTACTTGGTTTTTGAAAATAACGAATAACAACGAATGATAAATTTTCACTTCGGGGGTTGCAACCCAAGAATACATTTTATGTATTGTTCTGATATTTCTTGAGCTTAATAAAAAACAATTAATATGCAACAAGCAAAWTAACAGCCAGTGACAACAAACTTTGGACACATCCAATTCATGGAGTTTTTCCTGGTTGGGCGTCTTTATGCATATTTGTTATTATATTAATGCTGTACTACCACTTTTCATATTAATCGACGTATATTCCGCTACCAAGGTCAGAAAAAATCTTATAATTAAATCTGGCTAAACTGCACAAATCCGTGATTACTATGTCTTACGATCAGAGCGTAAGGTATAGCGTCACAAAGAGAGATAAAACAAGGTTACTTTAGCTACTAAGTTCGGTAAGGATTCTGTATTTTGCTGGTGTGTCAACTTTATTATCGGCTCGTAGTACTTAACACGAGTTATTAGGAAACAACTCAGCGAGAATTAAACTAAAAAAATGATAAAAAAAAAAACAACAGCAACCAAACAAACAAATCAATAACAAAGTGCATTATTTAATGAACAAATAACCAATAAACCTAATAAAAACAACAGAATAACAACGAAATAACCGAACAAGAACAACAAAACAAACTAAATACAAACTATCAAAATGAAAAATTAGCGAAAACAACAAACTTATTGAAAAAAAAACCTACTCGTTTTTCAAATGAAAATATAAAATATTCCATGCATTATGGTACAATAGCGCGATCAATTAGAAGCGCCATAAACATTTCCACTGGTGTTTTACACAAGCAATTACTCTTGATCGCACCCTTGCAATCGACCCCAAGGCAATTTCGATAGTCCTGAGTACATAACACTTCATGTCATGAGGGCTTTACTGAGATTCACTAAAAGAAATTTAACACAACATCCCTTAATTGAACCCATTTCTTCAGCGGGGTATGCGGAAGGACGGATTTAGATAATTTTTGTAACGGTTGGTTTAGTATCACGAAATCGGTATGCCTGAAGGCTGGATCTCTTGCAGTTAGGAAGCATTACTGAATACCTCTGCTGGAGATTTTTCACAGATTTCAATGGCAGCCACGACAAAATAAAAAATCTTTTCTTTGGAGTACAAATACTGTTGTATAAAACTTGAAAACTCGAAAATTCCTTTATCATATAATTATCTATGAAATACCTATATTTCTCCATTTCGTAAAATTGATATTTTCACTAGTGAAAATAACATGTGAAAATATCACATTTGAAGTTTCTGTATATAGTGCAGGAAGTAAAAAAAAAGGCATATGTAATTATATGATAAACAGAATATTGCATGGTCGCTTGGAGATACGAATTTTATCTTCTCCTACGCTCACTCGTGAGAGATCTTTTCAACACTCGAAGATAAAATCCGTATCTCCGCGCGCCCATGTAATATCCTCTATATAATGCATCAATGAATATAGCATTACACCAGTTTTCATGAGCAAAAGACATTTTGGTTTTCAAGTTTTTTAATTAATTCTTTGATTGTTGTTTGGATGTTGATCCTTGTGTGTGATTGCTTTATTGACTGACTGATGAATTGACTGATTATTGACTGACTGATGAATTGGTTGATAGGTTGGTTTTGTTGGTTGGTTGACAGGTTGTGTTAAGCTTAATAAGCCTTTTTCCAGTTCAATGCGAGCGACCACTGTTTTAGTASACAACAGACTCACTTGTGTAGAGAACAAAAGAAAGCACGAAAAAATGTTGACATTACAATATCTCTAGAAATTTGAATCTTCCCTGATTTGAGGCTGAGCCTGAGCAAGAGTTTGAACATTCTGGAAATACAGAATCGGAAAAAATGCAAATTTATAGGGCTATTGTAATGACAACATTTTTTCGTGTTTTCTTTTGTTTTTGGTAAGGTCTATGAGAGACTGTTGCCAATGAAAGTAACGGTTGCTCGCTTTGAACGGGAAAAAGGCGTATTGATTGTTCCAGTGATTGATAAAATGATTTGTTGATCAGTGATTTCAAGCTTTCCTTCATATATTGACATATATTGATGCATTATCATCATCATTTCTCTTCGCGCCAGGAGGCGCATAAGACTTTCACTCTATTTTTCGATGCACAGTCATTTTATTATCATCAGATAAATCTTTTATCGAGACAAGAACAGACTTACTAAGCTTCTGGTATATGAAGTCATTTTATTGTGGCTCTTTTTCAAATTGAAACACGCTCTTTCAGTCCAAAACGTCTTTCTATGCGGTGTCTGTGTATATGGCATGAAATCTTGCACAAGTCATGCCAACACCTGAAAATTTGCTAAAACCTGTCCTAAATTTTACTTTCTATAAGCCGTTTTTTCTCAGTACTATTTTTTATGTTGCGCAGTCCTTGATGTATTATGTCAAACAAGAGCATTCCATCCTAKTACAGTCGTCTGCGCACCGTGTTCCCTTAGGACAACAATGAACATCAGTTAGGCAGTCTACAGCGTCAGGATGCAGACAACAAGCGAACCCTGATCCCGAGTTAGTATTCTTTACGCATGTACTACTGTGAGGGCACGCTGACCGCACGGTATTATTCATTTCACAATAGACACTATTTTCATCTTCGACGACGCTATCTTGTGGTGACCATGATATCTAGAAATAATGCCATCAAACATGATTAATATTGTAAATAGATAGAGCGCTAGTTTTTTTTACGCTCATGTGCAAACAGACCCTTTTAGCGATCTATTTTACGCTGTGTTAGCTTCAAAGCCATATATTGAATCCTTTTATTAACTAACAGTCCGTGCAAATTCAAGAGATCTGTGAGTATAGAAGACAATGAAAATAGTTTGAAATCTCACGAGTTTTATCTACATTTCTGAATATTTTTGCACACAATTGAGGCTAACACAGCGTAAAGGAGATCGCGAGTTACGTCACAGCGGCCATCTTGGAGGAACTTCAACAAAGGATTTCTCATTAGTATCTATTGCTCATTGTTCCAACATGGCCGCCGGTCTTTTATCTTTTGAATCTCATTGGAATGGTTGAAAACGATCAATTGGAAAAAAATGATTTCCCTAACTTATCCACGAGTTACGTGTATGTATTTACGAGTTGCATCTGGATCCTTTCGTGATCAAAACACACATCAATAATGTACAGAGAGAAGTACGAGAAAAAATCTCAATCGACACAGGAAACAATAATATCTTACAAAGTAGGTTAAGTGAGAATTAAAAGTGCAAAGTATTAGTGTTYATAACATTACGGTATGGTTAGAGGCCACATTGGTAGAGCGATTTCCGAAATACATGTGCGGTTCCCTGGCTCTTAATATACAAACTCGAGACATTTAAGAAAAAGAAAAAAATCTATTGTCGTGCTGTGTTTACGATGTAAATCACGTCGGGTTTGATTAGAAGACGAGAAAATCGTTAAGAGAAGCGCGACGGAAGCGCTGCGAGTACTAACATTTCTCGAATCCTTAACTACTCGCCTCTTTGGCGAGGGATAAAACAGAAGGCGAATGTTCGTTTTGATTTATGAAATGTAACGCGATATTAAGAGTGTGTATTTTCTGTGCGCAATTCCGTAATGAGAAAAACTAGAATGCTATAAAAACGCCGTCTTATTTTCCTACTTGCAAACAATATAAAAAGAATATCATTCCGCTCGAGCAAAAGGCCTAGAATTGAATTCCAAAAGCACCAACTACTATTCTCAAGACTTACATACTTAGACTTTATGTGCCCCCACCCTTTTATTTGTGTCTTTTCACCTAAAAATATAAGTAGTTTAGGGGGGGGTGACTAGATGATGAATCAGTATCTTACCGTAAATGAGATTTCTGCTCTCTTTAAGGCAAATTTCAAAAACTGCACDATTGCTTCAGCAATGGGCTTTGCTAATAAGCTGTAACCATAGTCTGTGTAATGAGGTATYAAAGTTCTATTAGCGATGCCATCACACTCGTGTATGGGTGGGTTACCACATCGATCTACTATTACTTTATACAGGTCAATAACCTCCACTCTTGGATAACGAAACATGACCTCACTAGCTATTTTATTGTACTTGGTGATAAGATTATCGACGTTACAATCGTCAAGAACGGRTGTGGTCAACGCATACATCACAGTGGCGTTRGTCCGTAGAAAAAAGTTTTTCAAAAATTTCAGGTTTGCGCGATATTCACGTGGCGAGGTGAACTCCTCCGGTCTGTTATTGTCACAGTTGACGTCATGTAGTCCAAAGTTAAAAACAATGACGTCATAAGCTATGTGACGATATTTTGATGATGCTATTAATAGATCAAGGCATTTGATGCCATGTTTGGTGTCCAGGGCTCCTCCATCTGACAAGTCCCAAGGGGCGTGGTAAACAGTGCACCTGCCGGCAAGRAATTTTCTGATGTACYTTGTGTACCTGAAAGAGGATTATWCCCATAAGACCTTGCTGTCCACCAAACGCGTTCACACTACGCATGCTCTTATCGGTATAACCTTTCTGAACCTAACCCACRTGGGTTATCACAACCTGGCRACTTAAGAATTTGGTTGACTGTCAGGGGAGGGCATGGTATATGACTCTGCCGGGAGCAGGTCCGCGTACTTGATAAAAGTTACAGGAACCTAACTAATCTTTATAAAGCATACAATTTATTCAATACTACAACGGCACATCATATCTTATCATAAAAACAAGATTGTTTTGGAAAATCCTTCTCTTTTTCTTTTTCCTTTTTTTTGTCTTTATCTAGTTGTTTAWTTTTYTTTGTACTAGCAACTGGATTGCGACAAAAGCAACAAAAAACTGGACATTGGTAAAACAGTGGTGTAGTCTCGTTAGATTTAATGAGATTTAATCCCGTCGCACTGTAACATTGAACCTTATAATCAAAATGATACAAATCAGCTTCATAAATAATTTTTGCAAGTGTTATCACTGATAAAATATTGATGAACTATTGTGAGAGTATGACTTTGTTTTGGCGGACAACTATCGCGATTTCTCTTACTATAATATACGGTAACCTCAAGTGACTTGTTATAAACAATTGAATTGCTTGCAAATTCCTTGACGTGGATCTTATTATGACGCTAAAAAACAGACTATTACTGTACAAAYAAKCACTTGTTATACGAAAATTACTAMATTTACCCGATACTGACTGAGTCGCCAACGATCAGACATCTCCCTTGCTTTGAGGAAGTTTCGTTAATTTCTGGACCAGGAAGACAGACGCGGGTGGCTGGCATTTTCTGTGAAATTGATATACTGACACTCATGAGATTTGCGTTGTCTATAATGAAGAAACAGTCGATCAAACAACACAATATAAGACATCTTATCCCCATACCAGTTGAAGTGGATGTTAAGGGTGGTTAAGCACCTTGACTGGTGCGTGAATTGTAATCCGTAACCCCGACTAGCAGGGGGCATGATGGGGTATGTAAAGAAAAGTTTGCGTCGAAAAGTACGCCAACCGCATCTCYAAACTACATACTAACTTTGAGTTTATGAATCTGATAACCCAATCTCTATATGTCCTAATGGAAAAGTATTTGTGTTCTAGTTTTTGTTGTTGTTGTTTTTTTTTCAAGATATAMAAAAGATATAAATCAAACCAGAGCAAAACATTCTGATGGCCAATGTGTGAGGATACTGTAAGTTAGCTCCACACATTCAAAATAAATCCATCTGATTTCACAGCTTTTCTCCWCAGCACTCGATGTTATGGTTTTTGGTATGATAAACTACCTCTTGGAGAGGGGAGGAGGGCCATTTAAATGAATAAGACTTTTTAAATAAGGACAACTTGGATTTGAGATGCATGTYGGTATAAAAGCAAATATTTATTAGAATTAACTAAAGGATAAATATTTATAATTATTTCCCTTCATTATTCATCCAGTTAATTCCATTTCCCTTTCTTTGGATACAAATAATTTAAAAATTTTCAGAATAAAATATCATTGGATATAACTAAAATTTGTTATTAATTGACAAAATAGTATTATTTTTTACAAAATTTGTAAAGGAGAATTTACTATAATTGAATGGTTCTTGGTTATCATAATGTTCCATTTGAAACTAGATTTCTGGCGGCTGTGTTGCACAATGCCGTAGTTGAGGTATAACACTTGATTTGACCTTCTGCAATCAACTTCTCCAACCGTCCATATTGYAGAAATGTTGAATGGCTCTTTGGTCTATTTGGAGGAAACACCACAGTCTTAATCCCAACCTTAGATATCACAGGGACACATTCATCACAAGGCATCTTGGTAACAAAAAGGGTTGTTGTCTTATCTTTTATGTCATCAAAAAACCTTGTGAGAATGGCACTTTGTTCAGCATGGATACTATAGGGGTATTTCTTGTCTTTTAYGTGGACATCSGTATCTTTTGCWCGKGGGAAGTCACCATACATAGCTTTTGCAGGGAAGCCATTCCARCCCACAGCAATGATTTCTTCATTCTTAGTAATCACTGTACCTACGCCACGTGTAGGATCATCAGACCTTTGAGCCAAGATATGTGCCAGTCTTGACATATAGCAGGCAAATTCCTGCCATTTTGGACAACTTTCATTTCCCATTTCATCATTCCTTTTCACTGATACAATCCCATTTGGGGAACCATATTTCCGAAAGCTAGTTTCATGTGGGATATCTGAAATAGTAACTTTTGCAAGAAATTCAAACATATTCAAGATTTGTTGGTTAATAGTCTCAGTAACTTCAAAAAAGCCAGGCCATACTTTGGATATTTTCTCAAGCCACTGTTCGCCCCAATAGCAGTGTACTAAATGCTGTTTGTATTCCTTATAAGATCCTTTAGATGTAGTGTAAGGAGATCGTTTTTGAGACGATTCTTGTAAATCATTTGTAGTGATTGTAGGTATGTATAAAGACTGGGCTATAGAACAAACACGGCTCAACTTGTCACACCGGATGGCATCTTCCTGTGTAGGAACTTCAGGCTCAAAGGGCAAAAAATACACTCTATTAATCTCCATTTGTACCATGTATTTCATACATAGAGAACAAGGTTTCCTTGAAGTGTAAACAATGCCACCTCGTAATTTATTTGGACGTTCCACAAGAACATTGATTACGCCATGAAGGCTGTCCCGCGAATAATCCAACGCGATAATCTGATCGTTTAGGTCTGTAACTACAACTCCGACTTTATTGAGACCTTGGCCTCTCAGGCAACCATTGTGTTCTCCTTGAAGAGTTTCCTGTCTCGTTCTTTGGGATTCTGTCGAGGAAAATGGATTTTCTTCCATCCAAATGCATAAACAAGCGAACAGATCTTGCTTCGAAATCCGATCAGTCAACTGAAATCCAGCCATTTTAACAAAACTTTGGGAATAAATAATGATGGGACAATGATGGGATGAAAAAAACATGCGAGCCAGCAATCCTTGTGCCCATTAGGGCATGCTCATTTGTAAACAAACTCGTACCCATGCTCTTTTCGTCAAGAACAGGGCCAATCTCGAGCCCAGAGTCTTCACGGCTAATGTCAGCGGTATGCTGACCAGTCTCACGCAGTCATCCGCTGGATGGCAAAAGTGTGGGCTCTGGGCACCAGATTGGAACAGGGCAATCTCGAGCCCAATCATAGGCCGCCCAACTAATGCAGAGACAGAAAAGAAGGAATGCGTACGCTTTTATTATGTCAATCTCGAGCCCAGAGTCTTCACGGCTAATGTCATCCGCTGGATGGCAAAAGTGTGGGCTTTGGGTACGAGATTGTTATTATCGGCGCGCGCTCTTAGCAAAAAAGCGGGTTACCTGTGGTGTTACGTCACTATCTCGCGCCTCGACTATAATCTTGACAGATTACAGCCTCGTTCCCAGGGCTAATCTTCGCGCCCAGAGATATCTCGACTAGCTCGAGCACGTCTGAAAAATTYTTTCTTTTTTCTTTCTTTCTTTTTTTTAACTGAAATATACTGCGCTTGCATTTTGTAACCATGCCGGCCGGTCRGTTTGAGCGCGTGCTCGTTTGAAAACTCGTACCCAGGCTCTTTTCGTCCACAATAAGCACAGGGATCTTCAAAATCTTGTTGTGGCATAATAAGATCTGATGGGAACRAACGCGTTCCCCACCTTATAGTATGAACGTCACCCACAGTCATATTTTCTATCTTTTTCAAATGATTGTAATTAGTATAATCGCTCTTTCTTGCCGACATTTTGTATATGTGCTAAATAACAATGAAAAAGGCATGTTTGGATGACCACTAACAACGAACATCGGCCTGACTATTGTTCTTAAAGCGTTTGTTATATAACTTGGCTTTGTTTTTTTTTTGTTTTACACTACAAACGCCTCATAAAAGCTGCAGATAATTGGGGTTCTATTAGTAAATGATAAGACGTCATTGAATGTTGATTGACCAATGAATTTAAGGGGCGTATCATGAAGTCACTACTGAAGTTAAATAGTCCATAATGCATGGTGTATTTTTAGCTGCACCAAATTATAACCCACATTTTTCAAGTGTGAATAGTAAATAGTAATTTCAGCAATTTTGTCATAGAATAGACTCTAAACCGAGGTAAAATCTGAAACCACCTAATACTCAAAGGAGAGTCAGCGTAACTTTACTTTTTTAGATTAAACTTCTGATCAAACTATGTCAGCTCAGGCATTGTAACCTATTGTTAGACTTTCTGCATGTTTGTTATACGTTGTATAAACACAAGAATGTACGAAAGTGAAACCTTTTTACATGTTCAGAATGTTTAGTTAAAAGAAAATGAATCACCTACTAGTGAAACCAAAAGAATATATTAGTTATTTTAATTTGTATTTGTTTCCATTGTAGAACATTACTCTGCTTAGCCCTATTCAAATTGAAGTATAYAGGCCTAGTATCTTGCAACAGCGATGATTTTTATTGAAAATGAAGTGAAAACATCATTCGACAGTCGATTTACACAGGTATATCAACATAATATATACCTTGTATTAACACTGTTTTTACTGCTTTTAAAACCCTTATCGCCTTGTAAATAAACGGGTACATAGTCGGCAAACATTATAAAATGATACAAATAAATCGGTACAACCTTAAATATGAAACAAGTTGAAACTAATTGACTACCCAAAGATGTTTTTTTTCGTTCATGACGTACATGAAAAACAAAATTGTTCAGTTTTATTTAAAAGGACAATAAAAGGAAATTCAAAGACCATTCAAAAGGCTTTCCTAGGTTTCAATTAGTTTTTAATGATCGCCAATCGTGTGGAAAGTTTGCACAGCTTTTCATGTTAATGGCCCTTSTCACCATTATCATGTGAACAAAAAGTGCGCTAGGCTTTCAACCAATCAGGACTGAGACTTTTGTTAATTGGTCTTTTAAGTAAGATCACCGCCCCGTTCTATGCTCATTTGAGGTTGGTATTCACTAGTTCTGGACAAGGTGATCGTTACTGGTTCTGCAAAATGTAAGGCAGAGATTTAACTGGGCATATAAGCTTGCCTTTACATTGCGCGGAAATTAACCTACGGTATCATGGTTGCTTTCTTCAGCTAGCAACATATCATTCTTGTGATACTGACATATTTTTCCGCGAAAGCGTCCGGCGTCGACTAAACTTCAGCTCAGAATATTATAAATGCAATGCCATGCTTAAGAATATACAGAGCCTATCTTTACTGACGGCGTGTTTTTCGATAGTCCTATTAAGTAATGCCTAGGTCCTATTCAGCTATTCTGAGCTGAAAATCACGAGAGTTACCAAGTATTTTATGTCATTGAATATGGTATATGCCATGGTTTGYAGATATTAATGGTTTAATTTCATGCTGAAAATGCGCGTTTTCMAGTTGATAAAAATAAGTACTTCAAGGTTCAGTGATTGAATAAATTCTCTGCATGTAGTAAGGTAATTAGCCTCCTAATTAACCACCATAAGAAAAGATTATTGTTTCCCTTTGTTTCTTAAACGATTCCTGTCCTTTTTTGATTCTGGAACTTTGAAGCAGAAACCTTTTTGGTATCATTGTACATATTCACTGTTAAATKTTTACCTGAGCTCGATTTTYGTGCATAAAAGTGGGCGTTTGTTATGTGACCAACGCTTTTTAACATTTTTACAAGTTAAGCCCAAAACAATTAGAATTCGTTAATAATGATGTTATTAAACTGRACATCATTTCAATGCTTGTACTGACACAATAGCTACAGATTAGTGATGTGGGCGTGGGTCGCTCTGTGATGTAATGCTTTTGCTGCATAGTGTGAACTTYTACGTCAATGAAAGTCACAAAAATGGAAATTTATAAGTTTCAATAAAAGACATCATCACTCTGGATTAGATAGCAGATACTTTGAAATATATCAAGACGTCAACGATTTTTAGAGAAATGGGAAATTCATTTTAATTTTCTTGTAACATAAAATATTAATCACAGTATGTCTTTGCTTTTAAAACTTTTTTTTGTCAAAACCTCTAACTGCTGACATAAAAGATACGACAGAATGTAATAGTTTTAGTGAATAAAAAACTACAGTATTATTGCGACGGGCTTCCTGTGTAGATTGGCAGAAATGACGTAATCATATATAATTAAGCGGAAGTTTTGGAGGCATTATAATATGCCCAAATATGGGTTCTAATAATAACTTCGTCCCAGCTCGTGATGAAACTGAAATTCTTACAATAATATATAATGAAAGTGTCTTAACTTTTAATATTTCGCAATCACATTGTAGATATAGGATATTTTATACTGTTTCAGTGTAGTGTTTGTGTCTTTTTTAGCTCAGAATGAAGTTTTTCGTGTTCGTTGTGATGGCTGCATTAGTAGCCATCAGTATGGCTGACATATACATGCATAATCCAAGAGGCTCCAACAATCGACTGAATGAGAGGAGTGCAAACAGACGAAACGCTAACAGAGCCTTCGACTCTCAGGTAATCTATTTACTACAGAAATCAACCAACTTAAACGAACTTGAATTAAATATTTTATGAAGTATTTCGTAATATTTTGGTGTCAGTTGCAGTTTGACACATCGATCCCAAGATCAAATTAATTGAAAGTGTTTTAGCAAATATGCGTTTTGTATCTTCATTAAGTTGGAGTTTTACAATATATATAAATATATATATTGGTTTTCGGTCTATTGATCACCTCAAACATTGGCATTCAAGTGTTGCAGTTTTATATAAACTCAATATTGATCAGCCATGTTGCAATTTGATCTCAGTTGTGAATTAACCAACTGTTATGTTTATCAATAGTTTTGTAATTCAAAGATTTATTGTTCAATGATATTTTGATAAAAGTTAGTAAAAGTTTGATATTTTTATAACAATATCTACATGTATATACATATCAGCTATATCTCTTGTCTGCAARCAGAGGATTCCACTTCTTTGCAGGGCATTTTGTTATTTCTGTTCCAATTGATTGTATACAAATAATTTAGTCCTCAGTTGTGATGTATATTTTTCTTCTAATTAAATACAATTTATCTGTTGTAGAATAACAATCGTGGAGGTTATAACGTTGGTGACAAGACGGCAACCGCGTTTAGGAATGAAGCTGGACAATATGACATGGTAAACACATGAAGATATCAATTTATGTTTACCCATCCACTGATCCTTCCATTCTATAATCTATTTATCCTCTTGTTTATGCATCCATTATTCTATTCTCATTTGTCATGCATAATTAATCTTGCCTGTCTATTCATTCATCCATCTGTCCATTTTCCCATTCGTTCATTTATTTTGTCTATTATTCATTCATTGTTCCTTTCTTTGGTCTATCCATTCATCCATTCACTCATCCCTTTATTCACCCTTCCATCCATTCTCATATTCATTTGTTAATTCATTTAAATACCATGTCATGTGTTGTAATGTTTATCAACATGCATTATGAATTGTTTTTGTCTTACTAGCGCTACTTTCAAAGCAGCAGAAAGTCGACTGGAAAATCTTACCTCACGGTTGAATGGACCAACCAACATGGATGTGGTGGAAATGACGACTCTGACCCTCACAAGTTAAACTGTCAGCTCATAATGCAGTACATGTGTGAACCAGACACCTTGCCAAAGAACAAATTCAGTATGAGAAATGGTTTAGATACCAACACGCAACCCTTTACTGCTAATAGACAAGGCGATAAAGAGACTGAGGCATCCTTTAATAACAGACGCAATGCTAATGTACAGACAAACCGTGTTCTCTTTGAATCCTACTCATGGTATGACAAGTGCAGACAGAGGAACCGCAACAAAGGTAATGTCTCCAGTAAAGAAAATTATTTTAGAATAATGATTAATGTCATAAGACGGAATAGTTTTATTAATAAACTGCAGGTTTTTTGTGTGTAAAGGACTAAAGATTTTAGTTTAAACCTAAGTCCTTTAATGTCAAAGCAATCAATATGTCTAAAATAACATTACTGTTCCCTTGMATCACTTGAGTGAAGTGAGTATGTAGGAAGTTGTAAGCAGTCTAATCCAATTTTTCCTCTGAGGGGGAGGGGTGAGAAACAGACAAGAGGATGTCAATGAAAGGCATTGCATGAAAGTTTTTTATTATTTTTTTCTGTGTATTTTAGGTCTCTTTACTGCAGATCAGAAGCTTAAAGGTGATCAAAGTATCTACACACGTCAAAATCCTGCTGGAACAAGACGTGGTTACGAGTGCCCTGAAGAGCGTGACTATTTCCCTTACTGGCATCCAACCGACTGGAAGGACATTGCTGTCCTAACCTCCAATCAATCACAGTGCAGCTACTATGAGAGAGAGAGCTTTAATGTCAAGTCTAAGCGTAAGTGAATATAATATAATTCTTGTAAATCAACTATTTCCAGTAACTGCTCAAGTCAAAATGAGTAATCATTGTTCTTTTATTCAAAAGATGAATGTGTTGAGAAATTCCCTAGTGGTAGAGTTCGACATTGGTCAAAGTACAACAATGAGAAAGAATGTACAGCAAACAAAGGTAGCTGGYTAGAATTCAATAACTTTTTGGAAACTGAACCAAGTGCCAAGAGTGAAAATGCATGCAAAGGAAAAGGCAATCGCTACTTCTGGGGAAGAAGACATGGCCAAGTCAATAAAGAATGTCTTGTTAAGTTACCAAAGCCAGACTGCAAACAATCACCCTGGTCAAGAGTTAATCACCTTGGTAACGGCAGAGAGGGGGTACCATTGAATTACACATGGGAACTACCCAGCTTTCCTTCTGGCAAAGACCAGCGCTGCATCCTTAGGATTAGGTATGTCTGCTAACAGTTTTTCTTACTGAATATGATACTGGTTCATGATACCATTACAGGAAATGAACCAAACTATAACCCTATTCTTTCAGGTATAACATTTCAACMGATGACTATGATCCATGGACTACTGACTCGAAATCCAACCAGAACTTGTAAGTTGATTAAGTTGTCTTTGATTGGTTGATTTAATTGCTGACTAATGGATGGGTGGGTGGGTAGGTAGGTGGGTGGGTGGGTGGGTGGATCGGTGGATTGATTGACTGTCCAATCCATTGATTGATTGACTGATTGGTTGATGATTCATTCATTCATTACCAATTTTAAAAAGACAATTTTTAAAAAAACTGCTTAAAAACAAGGAATTCAAGTAATGTTCCTATAAGCGTTCACTTGAAACATCATAAAAGTAGCAATGATACATCAAACCTAAAAAAGAAACATGTTTCTATATTTATATAGAGCTGCTTTGAAATACTCGCCAATCCAACAAAACCCTGTTGTTGATGTTGGATCTAACATGCAAGGTCTTCGCCTGGCAATCAACACTGCCCAGTTTGGTCGTACATTCCAAGACAGAAGCCATGTGTTTAAGTTATGGTCTCGCGACACYAATAATAGAGGTCTCCCTGAAGATAAGGACATCCATAATTTGAATGTTCGTGGTAAGAGAGGCAAYATAGTTCAGACATATCCAGCWGTAGAGTACGACTTTATCCCCAACAGAATGACTCTCAATGGTAACAAAGACCTTCTACACATCCAGTGGACAGGTAATTGGTATTGTATAGTATAGTTATATAATGATAGACAGMCATTTTGTGCAGCAAAGCATGATGGTAGTTGTATRTAGTCCTSRTACTTTTTCATGTCCTCTAAAACAGTCCTTCTGAAATGTTGCTTTTTCTAAAAGATGAAATAGATTAATAACTTTTGCCGTTTCTCCAAAAAAGCGTAAAAACTAGGCTTTTAATTAAGGAGATATTTTAGAACTACATGATCTACTGCACAAAATGATGTCACTGCACATTGCCTATTAGACTGYGAGGTCAAATGGATTGCAACTTGATGGTCCATGAGTCSCTACTCTGGACTATTTACTCGWATTTCAGGAGATCGAGTGGTCTRGTTGTTTTTGTATCCAYTATAGTGCAATTTTGACAAAATACCATAACAGACAATTGCTTTTTTTAATAATTTATACTATTTTGTCTTGATACGGAAATAAAACTCTGAAAAAATATTTATTTTGATTAATATATTAACCATTTTATCACATCAATTAACAATCACAGGCTCCAACAGTCACAATAATGGCGGCCCTGCTGGAGATGGTCAAGCTGGAGATGCTGGCGAAGGAACTAGAGGTATGCATCCAATAATAATTAACGAGAACTATGACGTAATTCAGCTGGTGGGTAAARTGGGTGCGCACTTCTCAGACAAGAATAGTTCCATAGTTTCTTTCATTTCCTGGATGCTCTGAAACTCTACCAGTGGAAATCCTGCAACTGTTTAAGAAATATAAAACGACACGCGTCTCTGTCCTCTGATATAAACACGGTCGTAAGCCAATCAAAGGGCGCGTTATATATCGAAAATTTTATAAATATGATTAATCTCTTATTGTTGTCCTTTTAGGTACAGATAGAAGCAATATGGTTGAGACTTTGGACCCACTCGATAACTTTCCCATGACATGGGAAAAATCCAGCATGTTCAAAAACGCTAAGGTTGTTTGGACCAGCCATCAGTACAAGAAGCAAGCCCCAGAAGATATTGCCATCTCTATGGCAAGCAGTGGTTACTACTCGTGTCTTGTAAACAACAAACAAGTTGGATGTACCGGACAATCTACCGACACCAAACCTGTCATGAATAACTTGTTGAACAATGCYCCAGCATCCTACGAAGGAATGGTACTGCAATTCAGCAAAGGAGAATACTTTTACACCTGCACCAGAAACAACAACTTCTCCAACAGAAGTCAGAAAGGATGGCTCAAGATAAAATAAACAGCTGTCGATATGAAACTACCATACACAAGTAGATAGCTTCCAAATATACCCTTCTGGACTATCATGTGATTCAAATGTCTTGATACAGTATATAAACACAATCTTAATTTAAAAAATTCATTGCATGGTATTTCATATGATCAACGCTTAAATACACCGTACGTATATAATAAACACTGGTTCTACAACTATGGAGTCTCATTGATTTATTATACACTAACGTTCCATCTAAATTTCTAACATTTCAAAATGCATGGGCTATATAGCCCAC